TTAGGAACAAGAAAACAAGGATTGGATGGGAGACAGAAGTCCCGGAAATGGAAACAACCTAGAGCTGGGGCATGTCCCCTTGAACGGGAAATCGACCGTAGTCAAACCCAAAAAGGGAACAGAAAGAGAAAACGGAAATGGAGCAGACTATTTGTTTTGTCTCAGAAGAGACGCCCGGTTTGATTTCCGGAGGTGCGGCCTTGGTTGCTCAAGCCAAAGGTGCACTAACAAGAGTCTTAGGCGATTCAAAGCCGTTAAGGCTAGAAAGGCCGCAAACTAATGTGGGGTTGTGAAGCGGCGAGCTTCAACAATGGGTCAAGAATGTGACAGAGGTCCTTGGCAGTCCCAAGCCATCTAGGCTGGGTTAACCGCAGACTAACAAGAGGTTGTGAAGCGGCAAGCTTCAACAACAGCGGGGGTGTAATGGCGATCTTTGGCAGTCTTGGTCATCTAGGCCTGGACTCGCTGCAGATTAACGGGATTGCGGGAATGCGGGGATGGTCGGTTTCTATCAACCTAACGGGTTTCACAAGCATCTACAGATGCGTCCTAGGGTACAAGATAACGGCTGAGGGTAGGGGTGTGGGTACTGTCTCACCGAGACTTTCGCCATACTCCTAACCACTCGGGCCTAACAGAATAGTGGCGTCTAGCCGTATGCGGGGGTGACGGCGAACTCAACCATCAGCGGACTGAGGAGAGCTGGATGCCAGCAGGGAAAACCCATAAGGAAATCCAACCATGATGTGACCAGCGGCGCACTAAGCGTCTCCAGCGATCAACAGTTAGAGATCCGGGTGAATACCCAGCGGCTTGGAATGCGGGATTGATAACCGAAGGTCAACGGTATCGCGGGTGAATGAGTGGAGGTGCCTAAATCAACCTACTTCCAGGACTTTGGAAGGGGTAACAGGGTGCAAAGCGGCAGCGATCTTGAAATCAGTTGCGTGCTTGCCGGAGGTTTGGATGTCGGAGTTGAATGAGTGAAGGAGTGCCTATCTGAACTGCTTCCAGGACTTTGGAAGAGATGCCCACAAGGGCTTGGGGTGCCAGCGGCTTGCTAGCGGCGTCAGAGGGGTCGGATTGGAGATCGGGATTGGTGGAAGTTGGGTTTCCAAAATCTGATCGAGGTCGGATAAGACTGATGGGGGTCGCGATAAGACTGGATGAAGGATCAGAAAGGACAGGAAGGGACTACAACTCAGGCTCGCCGATTGGGGTACAATCTGAAGCAAGAGTCGTGTAGCCAGAGTCGGGTTGGGACTGAAATGTCGCGCATCCAGTGAATATGGTATTCAGCGACCTAAAACCCACATCTGAGTGCCTATCCAAGGCCCCAGAGAGTCAGAGAACGCGGGTTTGAGCCATACTGGCATCAGGGACCCAAGAATCCCTACTGAGAGCGATCCAGCTTCAGTGGGAGTGGTTTTCGCGTGATTATCGGCCGTGGGAAAGATCCGTGATCGGCGACGTGGCACGGTATTGCGCGAAAACTGAGATCGGAGTCAAAACTAGGAACGATGTTGAGACAACCTAGGGAGAGAGCTCTAATATACTGTTAGACACTGGTCCGGGGTCGGCACCGAAGGTCGCCTATGCGGGCCGTTATAGGCCGCGAACAAGGCCCGAGGGTAGGGCATTCGGCCTCAGCAACTCTAAAGGGAGTGCTGTGCCCCCTAGCTGTCTCTTGGCCCTCATTTTGGACTCACTGGGGTTGCCTTGCTGGGGTCAGGACTTAGGGGTCGTGGTCATATCGATATTAGAGCTAAGGTACTATAATGTAGTATACAGGATATATATATGGAGGTAGAATGAATAGAAGCGGACCCGGGCCGAAGGCCGAAGGGTCTGGAAGCAGATAGGAACAAAGAGCGGGGTTGGCCGCACAGCAGCCGGCAATGACCGAGGGTCAAAACAAACAATAACAGATAAATAAACGAAGGGGTGTAGGGCCGCGATAGCAGCGATGGTATCGTAGCGGAGTAGGCGATGTCGCGGAGTCACGCTAGGTCGGTGCCAGAGGTGGACTCGGGCAGGGAGGTCGGTGTGGCTGTGGGGGAGTTGGCCAAGTGTAGGGGAGCCTAGGGGCAAGTGGGGGAGTGAGCAGGGGGCCCTCAGGGAGGATAGGGCTGAGGTCGGGGCTCGCACTTGCGCTCGCACAGCGGGAATAGGCTCGGGCAGCATAGGGACAGGCGGCTAACGGGCCAGGATGCATGGTCGTGACAGCTGTCCCGTACTTCCTACTCGGACACCGCTCATACCTTTGCTCCGAGCCTCCGTCATAGTCCCGACCTCGGACTTTGACTCCACCTCGGTCTTAGTCCATTGCATTGGTGACCTCATACTACGTAAACACCATTGCCAATATCCCTTGGACTTTCAACCCCGCCTCTGTAACCTCCGTAAGCTCCGCAACCTCCGAGCTTCACGGATCGCCTTCGGCACTTTCACTGCCTGTAATGTATCTCTCGCGTTTACCCCTCATCCCTATTTGGACTACTGCTTCTTCCCATTCTAGCCAGTTAGTCATCATTCCCACTTCTCCTCATCCTCCTGCCCCTCTGGGCCTCGCCCTCCCTACCTCCTTTCGGACGTATCACAGGTCCTGCCTTATGACCTTCGGTACCGCTCCGCTTCCTCTACCCTTTGTTCCCGTTCGGACGTCTTCGTTCCGATTCAGTTCCCCTTTGTTTCCTTGTGCTTTTGCCCCTTCCATTATATATATCGGCACTTGTACATACTCATTTTTGGGTTCAGTCCGAAATCGACCTGAAATGCCCCCTAGAGACTTCCTGCTCACCTACTGTGAAATTAAGGACCAAATGGACAAACAGCAATGGCACAGCGCTCCACTTGAGTCGCTGAGGCCAAGGTCCCTCCACGCTAAGTCTCCAATTCCACTCCGGAGTTGTCTGTATCAGCCCCATTCTAACAGAGTCCAGAGCACATGGGGCAAACCTAGGCCTCCCAGCCTCGGGCCCAGCATCGTTATTGGTAATATTGAGAACGTGACAAGTCCGGAGTTCATGAGCAAGAATGCTGGTCTAAGGTCTTGTGTTAAAGCGAGTTCAGCAGGAAAAAGATCTGACTGCAACCTGGAATGGGGTGAGAGATCTTGGAGACCTTGGCTGTCGATAGAGCGAGCTGCCCAGTCCAAAGTGATGAGAGGGAAGTCGGCTGGAATAACGAGAGGTGATGGCACCCTAAGGTGCCACATGCAATGGCTTCAGGAGTTCAGAGCAGCTTATTTGACACATCGCGAACCCGAGAGTTGAAGCCAAAAGAGCTAAGGGCAATTACAGAGGGCATCGAGGGCAAAGCTCTGAAGTTTAGAGACCTGGGTGCTGATTGTGCGGTTACCATTGATACGGTTGGAGAGGCAGAGATCATTGGGATTGGTTCGGATCCAGGAAGACCGAGCATCATGCACATTGAGATGCCTGTGGGCTCGAGCTTGAGATAGCATCCACTATGGAGGCTCACGTCACGAAAACCGGTATGGCTCTAGAGCACTCGAGAGTGCTCTGGAGATTGGTTGCATACTCCCAAGCTCTCAACAGCTCCTATAGCTCCCAAGTGATTCCGGATTTAATTTTCATGCCACGTGACATCCGATCGATTGATTGAAGGCGCTCCTCGGACTCACTGTCCGATGGTCCCCGTTCTCCCAGCCCACATCAACTTCCCCTGCAGCACTGACAAACAGTGAAACTCAGCTCCTCTTATGGCCATTGGAGCTGTCATGAAGATGGGACACATTGACACTTCACCATCGAGTAACTACGCTTTCGCGAAGGCACCTCCTCGGACTCACCGCCCAACAGTTCCAGTTCCTCTCAGGCTCCCTTCAACACATCTTCCCCTGCAGCGCCGACCAACAGTGAGCCTGAGGACTCGGCTCCTCTGGAGCCGTCATGGAGAAGGGACATATTGACACTTTGTCATCGAGCAACTGCGCTTTCGCTGCTGGTTCTCCCTCTCAGCCTCACTCTGACACTTCTTCACCTGTGGCGCTGACCAATGGTAAGCCTGAGGACTCGGCTCCCCTGGGGCTGTCACGGAGAAGGGACACATTGACATTTCGCCATCAAGTAACTACACTTTCGCTGCCCTCGCGGTTTCCTGCTCTCCGACACCTCTTCCCCAACATCACAGGCAAGTTTTCTCATTGGTGATGATGATAATATTACTAAGATTCAAAGGATGTATAGAAGGCATAATCCAAGTGACTCGAGAAACAATTTATATAAAATCTATCCACTTTCTGATAACACTCGCTTGTCATAATGTCTTGACTCCATTCTTCATCCAGCACTGGAGCTAGGGTGCATGGACGCCGTATGGAGGAGGCCGGTATGATCCCAGTGGCGCGTTCACCTGAACTTCTATACTCTTTTCGAATCTCATAAAGTTGAGCGTGTGGAGTCGGGGTTGAACAGGGTGAGAACCATTCAACAAAGGCATAAAGTGTGTTGGAGTTAGATGCAGGTGATGAGAATAATAGGAGGATAGTGGCCATGCGGAAACCTGCCAGTTCACATTAGCATTGCACGCGGGTGCTGTTGTATTTTAGATAGGTAGTACGCACGCTGGATATCTCTCCGATTTGGATTTAACTCGACCAGTATGGGATCCCGAGCGTTGCAGTGAATCCGTTCTGACACAGGGTCATAGAACTCATTTGGGAGAGGGAGATCGAGGCGAAATGAAGTCCAGATCAGGATTTTCTCAAATCTGCACGGTGCTGGTGCATTATAGTTATAGCGGGCACGTCGCTGACTCCCGTTATCTCCAAGTTCGAGGAACCGGTGAAGGGATGAGATGAAGCCCGTGAGACCAAATTTCTCAACGGCAGTGGCAACAGGCAGGGAAATGTGAGGTCGCCTTGAAAGAGTGATCTGACCTTGGGAAACACGTTGCTCTGTCACACCCTGGTATGTGCCATCCTGCTGTTGTTTCTTCAAACGCCATTCGGAATATGCTGAAAAAAGCTGAAGCACTTCAGACCGAACAAAGTACCGAATCATTTGGGTTTCATACTCCTTTTTGTTCGTACTTTTGTATGCAGCCTTTGGTCCAACCCTATGTAGAGCCTCCCCGACCTCAGTGCAAAAGTTGTCACTGGTACCAGATGCAATTATATTATCCCGCCAATGGTGGAGTATGTGAAGCTTTGGGATGTTGAAGTCTTCAATGATAACATTGCCATTAGTTCCTCGTCTCGAGCCATTGGCAATGAAAATGTATTTTGTGGCATGGAAGTTCTGGAGGGCCTCTTCGAGCTTATGCAGGGTTGTTTCATTGTGCATTGGGAGTTGGGCAAGGTAGGTAAAATCTAGCAGAGATCGCAAGGCCTTAATGACGGGGGGAATAGCTCCTGCGGCTCCTAGAATAACGGGCAAGATGTGCCGTTCAAGGTCTCGATTTCCTCGACAAGTCCATTGGGAAAGGTGAGATATACCAGTGTTAAAGTTACGGTACCCGATCCGATGAGGCTGAGCCATCATACGCCGATCAAGCTCATCTTCTCCGATCGTATTTGTAAGCCACTCCATCACATGGTCCTTAAAGAATTTATGGATTCCATGTAAGACATCCACACACAATACATTGCAGATGTCAATAGCCAACCCTTCCCAGCACAGATTCTCAACTCCGGCCAGTCCAAGCTCTTTGGCCTTCAGGAAGAACTGCCACGTGTCCGCTGTTGGATACCAATTTCGGATTGATTTCAGCATTTCGAGTGTCGATTGCCCTGATCTTTTCTTGCACGCATGTGGCTTTTCGAAATCAGCAGTCACAGCAAGACATTTCAGACAGGCTGAGTGACCCAACCCAGCAATCAGCCACTGTTCTTTCAGATCTGCCATCCAAGCAACGAGGAAGAATAGGCACTGGCGAAAGTTACCTAATGGGTCGATCACAGTATGTGGCTTGGAGATTGGCCCCATGCACAGTGGCTCAAGGACAATCCACATGCATCGATGGAACAGGATACTTTGGAGCAACCCTGGCATCCTGGCATCCTCTGCTTTTGTTCGAAAGTGAGTTCTTGAAAATTTTGAGACTGGGATCTTTGCGATCGCAATCCATGCACCCTGTGTGAGTTTCCGACGAACAGATTTGTCAATGTTGGCAATGGACATATAGACAGCGTGTGCAGTTTTATTCCCACTATGGTTGGTAAGGTGTGTTTCATCCGATGCCAACATTACTCCGATGAATCCAGTACCAGTTGGGATGGAAATCTATCACCACGGACATAAGATAAGTATACTTAGATTTATTAATTGCCACACCTGTAACTTATTTGCTATCTTTCCAGTCATGAACTCATGATATATCCTCAATCGACCTTGTCCCTTAAGTTCGAAAACTTTCATTGCCTCATAACTCATGGCTTCCTGAAAGGATGGGTTGGAGTAGAGGAACTTGGCGCAGTCGATTATGTCGCGATAGAAGAATGTTTGAGGTTCAGTTGGCGCATCCAACAAGGTAATCTCTGTCTTGAACCAGTCCGGGCCCGTTGGCATCGAGGTCTCAATCCTCTCAAACATATTGCTTGCACTCGGGAATGATGGCAGATAAGGATGGTCCCGGGTCTGGTTAGCAAGTGGTGAGTCATGTCACTGAATATATACAGCATTGCACGAAGAGGATTCCTCACCCATTCAAGTTGTAGGAAGCTGTCGATCTTTGCTTTAGAGAGCCCACTAGATGCCAGCCAATCTACGAGGTTCGATTCCGCGAGTGAACACCAAGGGAAGTAGGGATATTCGAAATCCTCCTGTGCAAGGAGCCTTTCCCACCGATTTTGTGGTCTTGGATTGCCATCTCTTGATGTAGATGTAACGATTGCTGCTGCCCCGTCTACTCGCTCTATCATATACTTCTTCTGTCGGCTAGCTTCAAGCTTGGTACCGGGGGAATAATCTTCGTGGCCAGAAAGAGTAGGTCCTGGACCACTCTCAGGCTCCTGGGCCTCGGTCCCCTCAGGTCCGGGTTCTGGGTTAGCGTGGCTCCTACAACTGACTGGTGGGATGCATCCTGACTGTGCCACACCAATGCCGTGGGCGTTTTTCAGACTAGCAGCAACTAATCGTGCTTTTCGGCAGGCACGCTTCTGGCGGATATGTGACCTCAAGCCTCCATCTGTTTTGAAAGGACCAGCTCGGCAGAAACGGCACCATAAATTGTGTGCATAGCCCATGCTAGTGGACTCGGGTGAAGGCATATTGTGACCCAGAAGCTGAAACGTGCGGAGTTCGAATTTTCCCGATTAGTTAATATTTGTCCTCCCCCCTTTTTTTCAAGGGCTTCTTCCTTGTCCTTCTGTGAAAATCTTCTCACTGTTGATACTTGGCTCCGTCCTGCAACAATCCCACTCAAATATGCTCCGAAGGGAACGAAGGCCAACTGAAAAGGCACTGGCACAAGCAGAAACAAAGAGGGCATCACGTCGTGGAACTTTGAAGAAAAAGGTTCGAAATCTGGTTTACTTATACTTTCTTCCATACTTACACAAGCTGGTTTACTCTTCAGGACTCCCGTCAGTCAGATGGCACAGGCAACTTGAGGAATATCGCTTCGCAACTGGAGCTTGGAGATTCAGGTGATGACTGGGAAGAATATAGGCGGCGCAATATAGAGGAGAATCAGGAGCTTTTACGAAAAATTGGGCTGGGTGACCCACTGGTCACTCCAGGAAAACGGAAGGTGCGAGCCACTTGGAATGTTTTTGCGTGCATATCATCACTGACTCAAAGATTCCGCAATGTCATCAGAACCCAAACCGAAAGCGCAAACATCCATATGATGGTGACAAGGATTCCAGCAATGAGGGTTTGAAGGCAATGCCACGGACTTCAAAGGCCAGTGTGTGGAGTAACGACCGATTTGCCATCAGTATGAGTGATTCTGGTGAGTCAACGTGGAATTATTGTTATTTTGAGTTGAATTTTTTCGTAGATGTAGCTATCGATTCATTGGACACAGAAGAACAAGAGATTGCTGGATGGCGAAGACAGGAGGATGAAGAGCATCATCAAAGGAGAAAACAGAGGATATCTCAGAAAAACAGTACACGTGTCACCACAAGCACAGTGCCAAATGCATGGCTAAGGGGTGGTGAGGTGCGAGGATGACCATTACATATTTGGGTTTGTTTCTCATCCTACTGATTTTCCTTGTTTTAATTAATTAGAACCAACTTGTGAATCCATCAAGCACCGGCCTTGCACATGACACTGCCACCAATACATGTGACTCCATGCCCTCTGCATCGCAATTCTTCCCAGACTCTGAGGACTGTCTCAGCCACTCGCTGCCAGATGATGATGAACATGTGGCCCCACCCGCACTTACAAAGAATTTTCGCCGGGTAGGTTTGGATAGCTGTAACTTGCCGTCTGTCATAATATTAATATTTTGACAACAAATAGGGGGTAAAGGTCAACTCACTCGCTATGGGACAACCCATGGATCATATTTGGAACCAGATCAAGGTCCGTGTGGACAAAATTATGTTTCATATTCTTTTCTGAAGCACTGTGGCGATTACCAGCCACAAACTCCCAACTCAGGGCGGTCTTTGAAACATTCACGTTCGCCTTCTTTCGAACCGACTGCTTTGAAACATTCACAATCACCACCCTTTGAAGCATCCACTGAGGATTTCTCTGGATGCCCAGATTCTGGCACCAATATCACATGGCATCGCACATGCACAACGCTTCGTGAGTGGAAAAGCAGGACCAATGAGACAGCGGACTCTCTCATGGTCCCAGTGCTCAAAACTGCATTCGAACTGTATCATATTTCACTTCTACTTAACCAACCATTCCCGGTGCACGATGAGAATGAGTCATTTGCAACTCACGCACTCTCAGAAGCCTTTCAAGAACACCACTTAGCAAATGTTAATCTAACCGGAGACATGATCCTGACGGTACGAGCTGCAATGATTCTGCCCATAAGTCCCAAAATGTCAATCTTCATACTTAGGTTACAAAAACTGCATCAAGATTTCGGGGGATTTTCAAGACAGCAGCTAGTGCCAGTGTCAGACAACACATGCATCTGGCCGAAACCAATGATGAGAATGTCAATCGCAAGATTGTTAGTGCAGCGCTGCAGCACGAAAACTTCTGTTTTGCAGAGTACGACACCGAAACAGTATGCACCTCTTTTTCTGAACTGAACCCAATTCCACCTTATGAAGTCACATAGAACAAGTGCAGGGGAGCGCTTCAGCACCCCTGCATCCAGGAGACTATCCTAGCATTTTTCACCCCGACTATGAGGCGACGGGAGGCTTCTCTTCACCGAAACATCAAGGCATTTGAAAAGATGCCAAGGGCAACTGTGGCTTTTTCCTTAACAGCAGTGCGTGTGTTCGCCCCCTTCTCCCTCCTGTTCTCAGCCACTCTCCTTACTCCTAGATCCAATGTGCCCTGAAAGAATGGGAGACCGGGAGACATCTCACGACGGAGTTCAGTGGGAGCTCTTTCTTCAACATATACCAGAGCCATTTGGATTGGATCATTCAATGGAGTGAGAGGCGACCCAAGGAGTGGTTGAACATCTCATCATCGCTTGGTAACGCTGCCTTGTGAGTTCTTTCCACTTCACTTTATTATTTACATCCAACAGCAAGTATATTGTAGACACCAAAGCGGAGCTGCCAGAAGCGTGCATGGGGGAGGGAAGGTGGTTCAGATACTTAGAGACGATGATTAGTCACATCTCCTGTATATAGAACTTTGCAATCCCTCTTTCTGCAACGAAACAACACGACGATTTAATTGTCTACAATGTATAGACTGAGCCAGTGAGATCGAGTATAATATATGCTCCAGAGTACTCCAGAGCACTCCAGAGCACTTCAGGAGCAAATCGATGCTCGGGAGCACTCCAGAGGGGGTACCTTTCTCCTGGGCTCTAATTGCTTTAATTGCTCAGGAGCACTCAAGAGCTGATGAGAGCGTCTGCCGGTTTTCGTGACGCAGGCCGTGATACTATCCGACTTTTGTGAGTGTTTGATGAGAAGCTGTTCAGGCAACCAACATATTGGAGAGTGTGAACGAGGAGATACGGGAAAGATATCAGAGAGCTTAGGATCGATCATGAGAGGCAACGTGAGAACATCACGAGATAGTTACGAACAATCAATAGTAAACCCAATAGCCAATGGGAAGAGAGAACCACAGGGTGGGAAAAGTAAAATTCCCACGAATTGTGGACCCGGAAAGTGACCTTGCAAGCAAGGTAACAAAGCAGCATCCTGCCTCCACACACGTTTCGTCCCTAGCTAGTCACGAATCCCATCCATCTCAGTGGGAGATAACAAGTCGGTTCTGGACTCCTAACTCTCTCAACGACCCATCAAATTCCACCACTGTCCTTTGCTTCTATCTCTGCTACTAGCTCCGATGTCCCATTGCATCTTCGATCTTCCCTGGGATCCGTGTCCACCCATTAACTTGATTAGGCCTCCAGGATTTCCAGAGCCGACCCTGGTCGAAGAATTTCCTTGTCTATGTGAGAATGAACTTCCTGATAGAGCTGGGCTTTACTTAATAGCTTGATGGGGAGATTGAGTTTCCTGGCCCATCTGGTGTCGATCCTTCATTCGCAGAGGTCCCGTCACTTCCCAGCCGACCGAGTAGCCGATTTTCCACGGCCTCGCCTCATCTCTTGCTGTGTTCGCTGCTATCTCAACGCTTCGTGCGTCATCGGCCACACACATGGCAAGCGGTACAGGAGCGGGTGCCCACTCCGAAGACTTGAACCCTCAACCGCACAGGACTTGCTCTGTGCGAACATTCTGCGAAAGCGTGGTTAAGGGCCCTCGCGCCGTCGATGCCTCGATTGAACGTTATGGGGACCTTCGTGGCGTGTCACATCGATTTCTTATCCTTCACGTTACCCGAGCCTGTGGAAGAGACTTTTACATTCGCTTGGGTCGAGATCCAGGGATATCGAATGTGGTAGATACTGTGTGTTGTGGGATATATGGTCATTGCACGAGAGCTAAGGCGCACTGAATAACTGGGGAACACACTGCCTGAAGCGGCACTACCCGCTTACTCTTCTCATATTGTGTCCTTCACCATCAACGGCGGGGCCCTCGAAACGGCGTCGCCCTCAGTCGAGACCCCGCCTGAGTTTCTCATTCCTCCAGCAGTTATTGTCCTTTCCTTTGTTTCCCCCCACGTTTCTTGCTTCGCAATCGCCCCGAGTCCCAGTCCGGCTGCGAGAACATGGAAGGCCAAACCCGCTTCTTCCATCAGACTACTCCCCTCGAGTGCGACATCATCTAGAAGTAGGAGAAATGAATCCTCACCGCCGCCCGCTCGCTTACTATTTTCCAGAGAAAGAGACATCTTAACCTTCTTGGTCTCCTTTGGAGCCACGACTCAGCTCTCCTTGAACATTGGGTGCAGAAATCGCAAGTTAAAGAACAGTTACGATTGTCGGCGTAAGTCCAGCCATACTCGATTTCATGAATTTCGACCATGTCCTCTTGAAACGTACACGACGACTGAGGTCCAGTACAACGAAGAAAGCTGGCCACGTACCTTCACAATGGTGGCCGAGACCAGACGCGTTTTTCAGAGGATTTAAAGCGTACAGTTGGTCCGCAAGACAATTTCTTCGTTTCAGGTGCCAGAACCATTGGGGGCATTACCCAGTTGGATTTGATACATCGTGCCATTCACTTTGGTGCGCTGCCGAACATTGTAAGTGATGAATCGAACAATGCAAGAGGGGAAAGAGGACGAACGTCTTATTCGCGCCACGCGTTAAATGGCGCGGCACGCTGATTACCGTATGGACCGACGTCGGTCACGGTGATCACTCCCAAAAAAAAAAACCGAATTCGGCCGGTGCGTTGGCGATCACCATGCGTATAGTCTGATTAGACACTGCTGCACTGCGGTAAGCCACGGTTAAACCGGGGTCAATGGGACCCAAGAAGTTAGCAGAGTTTGCGTGAGCGAGAACTTCACGAGCGACGATGGAAGCATCCATAACTAAAGAGCGCTTGTTAGTTGAGAATGATCGTGTTTGTTCCTCGCGCTCTTTTATTAGCGATCCCGGACTTGCGCATGGAAAGTAAAAGTTTGAACCCGAACCGCTGGGTTTATTATTGGGAAATATGAACCGCGACACGGAACATCCACTACGTACCAACTAGGTTACAGCGTGACAATGGGCATCGGGTTGTACTTGAGACCCAGCTGACGTTGCGGCGCCAAAGCTGACCGCTGGATCCATGGTAGTACTGCAGTCATCCGCTCAATCCGATTCCTATTTTTTGAACGTCATCCCAGATGACTCTTTTCCTTTTCCCCCCTCATCTCTGGGTTCGTCATGTCACGGTGGTTCGCTCCCCTACACGTTCTTGGTTTTGCACCAGTTACGTACCTTGGAGTTCGCTGGCCAACTCGTTTCGCTTAAGAGGAGCGTCTAATTTTGGCAGCTCTCGGGGTTGTTCCCGATTCGAGAATTCAAGCACTGGGCCGTTGGTCTTCTGAAGCTTGGCAGATTAAAGAACCCAGTTGTTGTTATACGCCTGCTTCGACGTCGATTTTTGATATTCTCCAAACTCCGTTGAGCTCCCTCCTTTTCCCCTTGGATTGGGGACTACGGCCCAATAGATGTCTAAGCTTTCTGAGGTGTGGCCATGGGCATACCTGTAGTGCGTGCACCCTGGTCTGTGTGGTGTGTGGTCGCACCACATGTGCACCCGTATATGCGGATACCGAAGCGGTGGTAGTATTCGCCGATGTGGCGAAACTGGGTACCGGGTGACTCTAAATGTTTTGCGGTCCAGGGTTTTAAACCTGGCAGTTGGATCGAGCGGTGGGGGGATGTGGTTTGCGACATAGAAGCCGCAGGGCTGCCGTTGAGGCCATTGGAACAGCATGCATTTACCATTGTTTACATCGAGCCAAAATCTTACTGCCAAACGTAGTTTTTACCAGAGCGACTGGATATATGGGGGGCCCCATTCCATTGGTCCCCGTAATAACTCTTGGTTGTCTCAAGCAGGGGTCGAATTTCAACACTGCGTGGCCGGCATTCTTAGATCGCTCAGAATCAAGCCGCGTATATGTTGCACTTACGTATGAGCGACCCTACTGTTCAAAGCGCTCAGACTTACTACAGCACGGAAGGTGGGATCACTTGTGCCCAGCTAGTTGGGGAGCATTCTCATAAGTGATTGCAACGTCCCCAGAGCGCTCGGCACTCATTCAACTGCAATGTGAATGCTCACCATGACAAGAGCACCCAGTCTAGAGCTCGGATGGCGAGCCCCCAATGACTTTCTACAGTCATTGGAAATTGTTGCGTCGCTTACATCAAACATGCATTCTGAGGTAAAATGGGACTGAACGGCCACCAGTTCTTACACCTGACTATAAATGGATGAAAGTCATGGTGCCAAGGTTCCTGCGGTTTAATCCAAGTTTGTTTACGCGCCGGGTCCCTTTCCGGGCTCTGAATAGGAATAGTGATGATGACGTGATGATGACGTTTTCTATGAACCGAACAACGTACTCGGAGTAACTTGGCTCACCTGTATTTATTATGGGCACGATGGCCTTGCAATCGGCATCTCTGGCCGTCAGTTTCGTGGTGAAGGCATCTGAACCCCGGTCATCGGACACCATTACACCGTCCGGAGTAGTGCATTTCCTCTTTGTTGTATGCATTTTCAGGCTCCACAGATACCTCGCCCTTGTTAAGAGCTGTAAGTGTCAATCGGGAATTCAGAACACAAATAGAAGCGTCATTGGAGCGCTATTCACTAGAATTCTCACACTGTAACCCTAACACCTCCTCAACCCCGGCTCTGAGGGTCCTCGTTGGGAGCGAATGTATTGTCGTTGTATGTTGAGGAAGGGGGGCGATAAGTGTGCGTTGTCGAGTATTTGCGTTTTTGGGAATGTGAGTAGCCATTCTACCGCACCGTTCCCCGGAAAACTCGACTTCTCATTTCTTTCTTTCATTTCTCCCATTCTAGCCATACGAGAAAAGTGATCCTGTACCGCGACATCCAGTGGGCGGAAACCTCTTCCTCCGAGGTAGTAGAGGCTGGGATCCTCCCTACCTCCGAGTCCACCTCGAAACTCTTTCCAAGTTGGCACCCACTCTGAGAGATTTCGATCATCGCGTCACGCGATTCATAGGAGGAATCCCCTTCGCATCAGCCAATCACTATTATGCCGGTTCTACAATTCATAAGACTCATTTCTCGGCGTTCAACGTGGGGGGACGATAGAAAATCCTATAAAGGAGATCGAAAGCGATGGGAAATTTGGCTGTCAACGTGGTCACGCCTTATGGTGGGCATTCGGGGTGGGGAAGGGATTGCGAGCGGGTTGGGGTTGGCTAAGGGTGGTGTTGGCAAAGGGGTGGAAGAGAGGGGGTCGGTGAAGAATGAAGAGGGTTGGAAGGGAGTGATGTCGTTGTAAGTTGCTCGTGAAGATTGACGAGGCTAGGGAGCCAGTTCGGAGCTGCTGGCAGTGCGGCTTGATCGAGGATTTTTTGCGCGTTGCGACATTCTCTTCCGTGTCCAATGCTTTGCGTCTGGCTGCTTTTCCTTTTCTCTTTCGTGTTGGTCTTTATGACTGACGTGCACTCACGTAGCCGTAATTAGTAAGTTCAACAACGTTCGACACTGAGCGTAAACTCGCTACCTTTCTACGTAATACGGCAACCCACACTGTAGGATTGCTGTGGGACCCTTGGTGCACATGCCAGTGCGCAGTATTCCCTGACAATACCATTCACAGTCTGCACGCGTGTGACAGTGGATCGGATGTGAGGTTCCGCTGGCCGGGAGGCTCTAACATGACCTTCATGACGCAAGCTCATTCAATGGTACAAGTATACGCCTAGCTGCGAATTTGCAAGCTGGATAATTATATACATGATCAGTAATGGTGCGTATTCCATCAAAACTCCTCTGGCTGTATGAATGCTCCATTCACAATTCGTCCAAGATGAGTAGAGGCATAGGACGTTCCTTGAGCGTGGCGTGTTAGCGTGGGTACTTCGAGCTGCTAGAATCAGATGGAACAACTCACCGTTCCTCCGGAGACTCGTTAGCTTGCGGATGAAAGGCAAGGGACTAATATCAAAGGGGCAGACCAAGCTCATTTCCCGAGTACGCTTCCTGGGTAGGACAAAACCATCACTTTGTGTTTCTACTTCGTTCCTCCCATCATGACTGGTGTTGACGCCCAGAAAATTGCAAAGTTCGAGATACGTTTCGAAGTTGTTGATGTACATCTGGCCTGAGAATATATTGAGCTGCGAGACTGTGAGCCTCTCCGTGTAGGTCCACGTCGTCGGTAAGGACGGAATTGTGTAAAATTTGAGATCATCGAAGGACCTCATCGGCTGACTTGTTCTTGGAGAGTACACGTGCAACCTGACGTTGCCGCTGCGACGAATTTCTGGGAGCAACTCATTCACCTCAAAAGGACTGCACACCACGAGCATCGATCCGCGAATGCTAGACAGTATCCAGTTCACAGGCCGAAGAAACTCGATGCCTTTGTGTGCACTCGAACCTTTGATTGTGGTGACGAAGTCGCTGGTTGCAAGAAGGTTGCGTGACCACTTGGTGTCTTGCTGAGACCGAGGGAGGATTGGGATTGAAGAAAAGAGCGAGACGAAAGCACGAGAAGATGGTGGTATTTGACCATCGTGCACAAATGATTCGACATCAGGATGGAGGTGATGGCGAGCAGGTCGTAAAGGTGGTAGTGACTCCTCGTCCTCCGGCTCGCGCCTAGACTCGTGGACTACTTCACGTTCCTGCTCTTCTGCCATTTTCACCAGCCAACTCATTGTGGAGGACGAGAAAATCTCACTCCTCTGCTTGATCTCGCGACAATCGGCTGCCGGATGGGACGGTTCCTGTTCCAGTGGCCCGGAGGACGACGGTGCCCCATACATTTCCTCGAGAGACTTCAACTCGGGTCTCAACCAATATTTTTCTAACACTGAGGTGCGGCGGATGTAGGATGTCCAAAACTCTTTCCATGCGCATTGCCTGTCGATGTAATGAATGCCTTGCTCTCTCCAATCACAACTATAACGCCTTAGGCTGGAACATGTCTCCCTGATGGACCAGGAAAGAACGTCGTATACACCGATTCGTTCTCCATGGATCTTTTTCGAGAACTTGCGGATTTTGCGATCCACATCAGGAGGGGCGAGAAAAAGGACAGATTGTCCCTTACCCAACCTGCGCATTCGCATACATCCTGAAGACATGCCTGCTGATTCGATCATATCCTCATAGTAATGGGAAGGCTCACCTTGGGCTAGCCTATCCTTTGTCACTTTCGGATCTAATGTAACTGCGGCACGATAATCGGCGGGCAATTTCAAGTCGGTGCCTCTTGTGTGAGAATCGTCCAGGTACACGAGACAGCGATCAAGCTGGTGTCTGTACGACGAAGAGATGAATGGTTCCGTTGCCCCATCACGCCTGATAACGAAGAGTTCGTCATCTTCGGAGAAGAAGATCGCAGCATCTATATCTACTGCCAAGACTTGCGAAAGCCATATCGATGCCAATTCCTTATTGGAGAATTCCAACATCTGGGCACCCACATCCAACAAAACTCGGATTTGGGGTGTTTCCCTGACGACGACGTCCAGAAACTCGCTACTGGCCACGCTTTGGTAGTGATCGTTCTCAGGCTGCAGCATCAAATTCAACACCTTAGCATTTGTACCCAATTGCGCAGGGATGTCATCCTGTTGAATAGAAGTGGGGAGAAGATAGCGGTTGTCATTGGTGCCACTGAAACCCGTCGTTACGTGTTGCCTTCGTTCGGCGATGTCCCAACCGGATGTGGAAAGTTTTTGAGGAAATGTCTTGGCTTCCTTCGGAAAAACCACCTGACAGAGGAAGAAGTTAATCGTCGGTGGGTTCCTTTCGAAAGCTGGATAGGGATGCTGGATCTTTTGTTCGCGGTCATCCGGGTTGAAACTACTGTAATTGCGGAGAAAGTCTGGCACCAAGCAATTGTCCTTAATCCACTTGCGATATTCCGCTACAGGGTCTTCAACTTCGCTGATATGCTTGAAGCACATATCAAGCTGATCGTAAGACAATCCGCCATAGTAGTAGCTGAGGTATGTGAGCGAGATGCAGACGTCCGGGTGACTGAACTCTGCTCTCGGTGCAGGCACATCCTTTGCACGATAGGGCACGGCGAGAAGTGACCGCGTTAGGTCAAGCCCATAGTCTACTCGCCACCTACGTCCACTTAGAACGTACATAAGTATCCCATGCGCAAAAAGGCCTTTCAGCAGGAGCAGAATGCTCCATAGATGGTTGTCACTGCGACAGTGGTTTCGCAATTCAGGAAGTGTTCCAGCGTCCCTTTGGGCGATGAAAGCCTCTGCTTCTCGGAGTACCCCTCCATGAAATAGCCTGAACGGAGGTAGATCAGGAGACTCCCTTTGCATTATTCCTTGTAAAAGAGATTTCAAAATTTGGACGCCGGCTTCATGTCTGAGAATGCGAAGTCGAGGGAAGTATCCGTCTCGTTGCTCGAGCTCGAGACCCCCTTGAGAAGCCAGCTGATTAAGAAGCCCGCCCCTACTACGCAGGATGGAGCACACATGCTGCACCGTAGTCCATCTGACAGGCTGAGGACCTAGGGGCTGCTGAGTGCCAACTGCGTACACAAGTTGACACTTGACCGCCAGAATCTCGTCACTCTCGTCCAAAATGTCCCTAACCCTTGCGTCCAGCCATCGCTGTAGCTCCAGCATTGCATTTGGAGTCGGAGTTCCCTTGCGCCTAGCCGATGAGAGCTGTCGTTCAATGCCCGTGAGTTTGAACGATAGGACGTGTTCAGGCTGCATAACCAGTATGCCACCAACATTCATGCACTGATGGTAGATCGTTTGAAAAGCATCCGGCTTCACTGCGATAGCACGGGAAAACGGCATGCAATATATTCGCCGATTCGCTAAGCCGCTCAAGCGTTGAACCAGTGACTGGAATGTTTGATTTGCTAAGGGCTTTGGCACGATGATTCTGACTAGTTTTTGTCCATCTGCTAAAGATACGGCAATAAGGGGAACAATGACGGACGATTTTCCCTCCCCCATATTGAGTTGAAGGATGGTATTGCCTTGTGAGCGAGGAAACATCATGTTACACGCAACATCAACTTGAAGAGGGCGCGCAAGAAAGTTGGAGTCAATCTGAGAATCTCGGAGAGTCAATCCCATCGTCCATGCTGATGAACAACACGCTCACCTGGACGAGCAGCCAGTCGTCAGAAATGTCATGCAGATCAGGATAACTCGAACATTCCTTCAGAAATTCGTCAGTTTTGGGTCCTAATCTTGAAGAAATTGCACATTGCCTGCCCGGACTTACTCCGTGATATCCAAATGAGGTAAACCAGGTGACTGGACAAATGACATAAAATGGACAAGCCTGGTATCGAACCCAGGACCTCTAGCGTGCATCCATACACTACTCGCCCATTATGCCAGGGGGGGGTACCCCTTCCCTGATGGTTTGGGAGATCACTTGATCCCTTTCTCCAACAAATCTTACCAATCTCTCCGATCGCTGCCAAAGCACATCAGCAAAAGTCTGTTATGCTCCGGAGCATCAAGAGTGGCTGGAGCATGTGGGAGACAAAACAGCAGATTGGGCACTCCTGGAGCCAATAGTGTTCTCCTGGGAGGGGGTTCAGGAGCAGCTGGGAGTGGTGAGGAGTATGTAATGTGCCAGGAGCAGTGGGAGGAAAATTTTGGTCTCTGAAAAGTTGAAAAAAAAAATTTAGGGAAAAATCAAAAAAAATTCAGGAACTATAGTGCCTTTAAAGTGCTTTCAGGACATATAATTATTTGCAAAATTGAGGAAGAAATGATGGAGAAAAATGGAAAATACTTTCGGAGACCCGAGAAATAATGAGAACTGAATTGATGGGAAAGTCTGAAAATTGAATAGGAAAGTGAGGGGAAGCCTTGTAAGCATTGTTATTTTCTGCTGTTCTGATTTTTCCTGATTGTTCTTGGTCTCACTCCCAGCTGCTCCTGGACCCTCCCAGGAGCTTTCAGGAGCTTCCAGGAGTATTGAGGAGCAGCTGGGAATGAGACCAAGAAGAATCGGGAAAAATCAGAACAGTGGAAAATAACAATGCTACAAGACTTCCCCTCACTTTCCTATTCAATTTTCAGACTTTCCCATCAATTCAGTTCTTGGGTCTCCAAAAGTATTTTCCATTAGCTACTCCTGGACCCTCCCAGGAGCTTCCAGGAGTATCCAGTAGCAGCTGGGAGTGAGACCAAGAACAATCAGGAAAAATTAGAACAGCAGAAAATAACAATGCTACAAGGCTTCCCCTCACTTCCCTATTCAATTTTCAGACTTTCCCATCAATTCAGTTCTCATTATTTCTCGGGTCTCCGAAAGTATTTTCCATTTTTCTCCATCATTTCTTCCTCGATTTTGCAAATAATTATATATCCTGAAAGCACTTCAAAGGCACTACAGTTCCTGAATTTTTTTGATTTTTTTCCCTAATTATTTTTTTCAACTTTTTAGAAGTCCCTATTTTTCAAATTTTCCTCATTTCCCTCTATATCCCCCCTCATTCCCCCCCTCATTCTCCCCCCTCATTCTCCCCCCTCATTCTCCCCCTCATTCTCCCCTCATTCTCCCCCTCATTTCCCCTCATTTCCCCCTCATTTCCCCCTCATTTCCCCCCCTCATTCTCCCCCATTTCCCCCTCCCTCATATTCTGCCAGCCTGAAAGTGATTAAGTTGCCAGATTAATCATATATCAGGCCATAAATTTTGATTGTGTATTGGTGAGTCTCAGTGTCCTTGATATATAGTATAGTGTTTGATCTAAATGTTAAGCAGTGTCTTGTTGTGTTAGTCTTGTGGTAGGAGGTATTCATGGGGGATCTTCCCTCTTTTTTTCCTTTTCATTTTCAAATGCTCCAGGAGCTCCCAGAAGCTTCTCACCCCTATACACTTTGAAGCATTTAAATTGTATTTACTGGATATGTTTGTGCACAAAGCAATGCTCCAGGCCCTCCTGGGAGTGCCCTGGAGTACCTAGCCAACTCCGGAGGAAATGGGCTGTTCCTGGACCGGCCAATCTCCTCCTGATTCTCCCAGTGCTCTCGATACTCCGGAGCACTCAGGAGCATAACAATTTTTTGCTGATGCAGTATGGACTGGGCGAGGCAAACGAGGACATTCTTCCATTCGGGGGATATGTTTACTGTTGAACGGGATGAGAATGATAGGTGGTGCAGTAAAGAACGAGTGGTGCTTTTCGGCCATAGTCCTGCAACCCGCACAACCTCCTGTACTCGCTCGGACTGAGGGTCTGGATTGAGTACCCGTCGGATTTGCCCTAACACATGAGAGAGATGAGATTGGTACATCTGGTGATCATGATAAAGCTCTTCTTGGAGGGATTCCACCCGCTCCGGGCTGATTTGTATGTTGTGCAATGCATTGCGGCTAGCCTCGAGATCAGCACCGTATTTCTGGGATATGTCACGACCATGCATTCCGGCCCATTAGCCGCCCATCCCGATGCTGCCCGAGCCTATTCCCGCTGTGCGAGCGCGAGCGCGAGCCCCGACCTCAGCCCTATCCTCCCTGAGGGCTCCCTGCTCACTCCCCCACTTGCCCCTAGGCTCCCCTACACTTGGCCGACTCCCCCACAGCCACACCGACCTCCCTGCCCCGAGTCCGCCTCTGGCACCGACCTAGCGTGACTCCGCAACATCGCCTACTCCGCTACGATACCATCACCGCTATCGCGGCCCTACGCTCTTTCCTTTATTTATCTGTTATTGTTTGTTTTGACCCTCGGTCATTGCCGGCCGCTATGCGGCCAACCTCGCTCCTTCTTCTTGTTTGCTTCCGGACCCTTCGGCCTCCGGCCCGGGTCCGCTTCCATTCATTTCTTCCTCCTATATATATCCTGTATGATACTTTATTGTACCTTAGCTCTAATATCGATGTGACCACGACCCCTAAGTCCTGACCCCAACAAGGCAACCCCAGTGAGTCCGAAATGAGGGCCAAGAGACAGCTAGGGGGCACAGCACTCCCTTTAGAGTTGCTGAGGCCAAATGCCCTACCCCCGGGCCTTGTTCGCGGCATCACGGCCATCACGGCCCATAGCGGCCCGCAACGGCGACCCCCGGTGCCGACCCCGGACCAGTGTCTAACAGGATATCCGGTCGTGGGATGAGCGGAGAGTTGAGATGAGAGGTTTGAGGCTATCATTATGTTCCAAAGACGGTTTGATGGTCAACCATCCTTTCATTTTCAGAGGGGAAGGTGGATGCGCAAGCATCGGAGGTTGTCGGAGAAAGACATCACTGTATGATACATTGGACAGATCCACTTCTGCAAGTTGCAAGGAAGTCCGGAAGGAATATATTGGTAGAACCGGAGCATCTGAAGTCAAAGTCCGGTGTTTGTCCAATACCGTCTGGATTGCTTGAATGTGCTGGAGTAAATCCCGGTTTCTAAACCAGGACTCAAACCACCTAGTTACCTCAGTCATGGCGTCAGAGGTGTTGATCAGCCACACATCGCCATCCGGCAGACTTGGTAATGTTGGCGCTCCTGTAGGTTCATGATCCCATTGAGCGATTAATTCTTTGACAAGAAAAGAAACTTGAGAAGATGCTCGGCGACTCAATTTGCCTGGACGGATCGGTGCCGTAATGATGTCATAGAGTTGGGGTGCATTTGGTTTGTAGCCCATGTGCAAATCGTATTCAGGCCACAACGGTGGATCAATGGAACGGAACTCGGGGAAGCATGTGAATGCAAGTAGAGCAGGGACCAAGTTCTCAAGTGAAGGATTAGAGTGGCCCAGTGCCGAAAGACTAAACAACAGTTTGAAACGAGTATGGTTTCCCCAACCCTCCGTTCGACAGGCATTGTACAAAGGAATCCATTTGCGTGGCATGCTCAGGGACAGCCATTCCTTGCTGAATCCCAAACGCACATCCGACAAGTGATTGGGGGAAGAACCTCTGATGTCGTCCGTCCATGATTCCATATGAGACAGAAGATCTTTGGGGGTCTTTAGCCGACGAGGACAATGGAACACCAAACTAGAGACATTGGATGCAGCACGAATACGGGTGGTATTGAACCCATCGTCAGCGTCCCTAGATTCGTATATCATGTCTACACCCCGCATGCCCCATGGAAGATCAGGGCCGTACCAGACTGCATTGTGACATCTAGCACGGGAAAGCAGGTGTAATTCTATCCGATCACTTTCCGATTCTCTGAAACCTATGGAAGGATCAAAGATATCCATTTCGTTATCCCATTTGAAAATAGATCGGGTCTCATCCCAAAAGGCACCGTGTTGAACAAGCGGATTGAGTGCTTCATTCCAAACGACTTCTCCAATACCATCGTTCCAAAGCTTTCTCAAATGCTGTGTCCGATTCCATTCCCGTTCGCGTTCCCGTTCGCGTTCCCGTTGCTGATACGGTGACCGACGCCGTTCCCGACGCCGTTCATTGGGCCGTTCCCGAATTCTTGATGGTGTTAACGCCGATAACCGACGCAGAAGCTGCCACTCCCAGTCACCAAGACTTTGGAACGATTTGCAACGCGCTGATTGAAGGATTTGGATCGCTTCCTCGACTCCTGACAATGACGTGAGAGGATCGGGCAAGCAGTAACTAGTAATGGCATGAAGAAGTGACTGGAATAATGCGCTGGGCAAACTTCCATCTCCAACCAGACGGCCCAGTAAGACATCAACGTCATAATCACAATATTTGACGCATAACGGTTCCGAGTTATCAATCGTCACAGCGACGTGGTCACCGTCACTTGCGATAGACACATCCCCCGTCGGGATTATGACCCGCCTCGAATAATTAAGCTCCACGCCAGGAGCGAGATCTCCGCTGCGGCGCAAAACCAACTGACTGCGGAGGCCTAGCATTGTGCCTGTTGATTGATTACTACTATCTACTTCGAAACCCGGAAAGTTTAATGAATGCAGCCTTCCGCCTTTCAGGGTGAAGGAGAGCTGGAGCCGGGGAATATCGATGCGCAATTCTTGCATCGACGACCTTGCCATTGTGATAAGAATGTTACTTTCAGGTTCAAGTGGACGAAGGATAGCATGAATCATCTCGGCCGTGCGGCTTTGGCAGTCAACTAGTCTGACAGATGACCCTTTATCCATGACCCATGTGGAGCATGCAGTACGACGGAGGTGCCAGTTCGATCGGGAGGATGTCCAGGGTGCGTTCTTGGGCCGCAGCTCAATCTGACAAGTGGATTTCTCCATCCAGTGAAAATATTCCTTGACTAGGATGGATGGCAGATCCCCTTCAAAGATTTCACGTGGTAACAATTCCAAGATCCGACAGCTTTTCCCATCAAGCGCAAGGGATCTGCTTCGTACAATGAGCCTTCCATCTCGCCACCCAAAGTGAATTGTCTATTTAATGGTGAGAATTAGTCAAACCCGTTTCCTTCATCTTCCTCGACGAACCTCATCAGTATCCTTGGTTTCGAGCTGAGACTCGTAGAACATGTGAGCCTTGCTAACATAGTCCATGTCTTCCATATCCGATGAAACAACTTCCGGGCTTCTCTGCAGATGAACCGTTAATCGGCGGGTCTTACTGTGGGTGGAGAATAGTCCCGTACTGCACCAAAGAGTTCTTTGTATATCGAATGCCCACGAATGTCAGATGGCAACCAACCAGGTGGTTTTCCATCAATGAGCAAAGCGCCACTTAATACGTTGAAATGAACGTTTTGTGTCCTTTGACCATCTACGGCAGTGGTCAACCAACAGTCGTTAGGTCTTGGTCGCCTTGTCCAGCTACATGTTGGATCGATACCATTCCAAACAGCTGATATTGCCCCGTTAATACCTAATATGGTCCCCCCTTCCTGGATGCGAGTAACAAGAAGTTCTTCCATCCTGCAGGACAGGCGCTTGTCTCGGAGAAGCAACTGGTGCAAATGAGGGTCTGCCTTAGTAAGGGTTTCTTGGGGAGAGTGGCTACAAAGGATGATAGCACATTCAATGAATATGGCAACGTCTTCCGGAGTTCGAAGGAGTTCGCCAGCATGGCACGCATCGACATCAAATGAGCTCCTACAAACCGCAGCTATTTGACATATTGCTCGCCGATATCTCCCCCGTTCAGTTTCGGTTTCAGCGTGTGATTGAAGTGCCAGAAGTTCGTGCAACCAGCGCAAAGTGGTGTCTCGTATCTTCTGGAGTAGTTTGTACGTTCTATTGGTGATTGGCTGTGCCACAGCCGAGACCGGCAGTCGAGAAGCTAGTGTAGTGATAGTCAGTGCTGTAATACCCTGGCGCCAGTTCCCCTCTATATCCGTCCCCAGCTGTTCAAGGACGTCCAACAACATGTTACCGAATGGTACCTCTTGTAAAACCTGGTGACATTCCCAAATACCATCACCGGAAAGGCATCCGACTTGGCACACGGCCTGAGAGATGAGGTCATACACCTCCTCGCACTGAAAACTTAAATTTCCGGAGGGAATCTCTCGGGCAATATTGCACCATTGCAACCGGGCTCCAGCGCGCAACGAACCGAAGGCGACGAAACTGCGTAGGCTAAGCGAAGAGGGACATTTATGTTGACTCGCAAGAACTTCGTTCGAAGTGTGGGATGTTCCAAACGCAAAGCGTCCCAAGGAAGCATATGGAGACTTTTCCGGTATCCGCATGGACGTTCTGTGACTCAGATCGCAATAACCAGATGGAGGATATATCCATCTGCGATGGTTGTTGTCCCACAGCCGACAGGAAGCTGTGTACGTTCGGGAGACACCGCCTTCCTTGTCTGGGATTTCCACCTCCGGTGCTAACGATATTCGTTGTTGAGAATTTGGGACGCGACGTTCCTTACCCGAGGAGGACTCCCATGAGTCTGAGCGGATATACGATTCGCCCATCGCAAGTGTCCTTCCTTCCTTCGACATACAGATGTCACGGAGAAGCCAATAAGTCGTCTCCCTCCAAGTTTTGAAAACGCTAGGAACTGCTCGTTCAAACACAAAGAATTTGGCTCGGACTGGTTTTTGTGGAAGAGGCCATTCGCGAATAACTGTCCTCAGGGCTCTTGCCCGCCATTTGAAACAGCATTCTTCGCAAGATTCCGGATTGTGCCTGGACCTCATGCGATTCACAGTGTGAGAGCCTAAAGATCCAGTTTAGTGTCTAATCATGAGAAAATTTGCCTTCTTCGAGGTCGTACCTGCTCGTTTCATCATTTCCCAATATTCAGTACCTGCTCGTTTCATTATTCCCCTATATTCAAGTTTCAGCAAATGAAGCTCGCGAAGTTTTTGACTCGTCATCGCTTGCTGCTCTATGGTGCGCTGAAGATCCTGGAGCGACGGGGACGAATCGAAAAATCTGACTGCGAAGGTTTCCGCGTCAACAACTTCTGAGAAGACCGACCGAGGGTTACTGCCAGCTTCGTAATAGCGCTTGCGCAGGTACGCCTGGATCCTCGAGATGCGTGCCAACGGCTCAGCTTTCGAAAGCAGGAGGCCCTCATATAGAGTCGGTGGAACTTCAGGCGAATAATCCTTCAAGAGGGGACAGCTAGCTACCGCCAAAATGTCGAGTGCCATCCATAACTCAAAAAGCGTGAGGAGCATAATGGACTGTTCCGCTGGCGCCCTTTGGTACAGATCCCCGGCTTCTTTGGCGTATGTCGTCATGTAATGAGAAATTAAGTCACAAGCACTTTCGTAGTTCTGGTCGGAGATTTGCTGAGATACCCATTCGTCAATGCGATTTTTTACGCAACATTCAAAATCGCAAAGCGCAACAAATCCATTGGCTTTTACTGCTGCCGAAAACCGCTCAGGTTCATCGTCAAAGAGATGATTGAATGATCGTGGATGATGTGATTGGAATGCAGCATTAGGATTGGCGGGAATCCCCGGGACGAGAGCGGCACAGATGTAAGACCTGCAATTTTTCAAGTTGAGGCTAGTGTCCCCAATAACATCTAGCTCGTTTGGTGCCCACTTGGCTTCCCGCACGTGCGCATCCTGAATGCTCTTCCATCGATCTTGGAGCAGTTCTTCAGTATCAAGCGCAACCTCGTGGGCAAGTGTGACCAGAGACGGAGCTGCCCATGATCGGATTTTAAAGAGTCGGCGGCTGAGTTTGGCACGCATGCAATAGAGGATATGTCCCGGTAAGCGGTTCTCAACACCGCTCCGCAGAATCTCGGCCAGAAGGAGTATCATAAAAGACTTGTATTCGTTCATGTTCGAAGTGCCTCGGTGAATCGTAGTTTGCAAGGCAACACGAACAACAAGCCAGAGGGAGCTGCGCCTCCATGGGACAATATCATCCGCACGCTGCAAAACATCGTCCGATGTCCTCTTCTGGATGCGAGGAATGTCGGCAGGCTCTCCTAGTCCACGGAGTATCCCGGTCAGCAATTCAGTGATGTACTTCGGATGGGTTGTGCCCCTGTCCGTGGAACCCCATCGCCATCGGGGTGCGAATGCGAATGTGCCGTTCTCGCGTTCTCCCCCATTCCATGGTTGATCGCTGTCCATTGCGCCCTCACCGAGCGGCGGATCGCCGTCCATAGTGTCCAGCTGATCGCCATTCATTGTGTCCTCTTCCTACAAATAATCGTTATCTACTATGTCCTCGTCCAGCAGTTGATCGCCGTCCACCATGCCCTCATCCTCACGTTGGCCCCCATACATCTGGGTTAGGAACGCGGCCAATTCTTCTAGAAAATCCGGATCCTGCATAACATTGTTTCGAAGGGCAATTGCAGGTCCAGGAAAGGAGCGGATAAGCTTCCCTGTGCAGCGCATCACGGCTGTATTCATCGCTGATGCTTCGAAACTTTCGAATATTATTTCCTCTTCACCACAACGGACGGTCACACCCGCGTTTTGAGCATGGACAAAAATGGCGATTGTATCTGCATCCAGAAATATTACTCCTACTGTTCGGCTCCAGCTTGTATCTAGTGACATTACCTCCAGTGCACCTTCTTTTGATGCATTCGCTGATCCCGACCTCGGGGTCTATGTTGATTCGTCGCAATGTACCCACCATTTTCAATAATGAATCCCACAATGCTTGGTGCTCAGGCGCAGCATGCTGCTGTTTGTAAAGCTTCATGCTCTTGCGAATAGTTGACAAAAGAAAATCTATGCGCTCCGGACTCTCATCCGCCTCTTGGGGCAACTTGGGAGGCATGAACACATGGTTGATGACGAAGTCTAGAAGATCATCCCCCATTGCGGGCCCTGAAGCGCAATAATCGAGAAACCTTTGTATTGAGACGTCGCAATGAAGAAGAGACAGGGGGAAGGGATATCGAATATCGTGAGTCGAAAATCAGTCGATCGGAATGCACCCCTCTAGTTTTCATCCTACATCAATATTGTCCTCGTGCCCGAGAGAATGCTCTTTGACACACCGGTGAAAACTTTGAATCACGGTTTCCTGCTAACCGTGCAAATGTCAGCCTAAGCCTGAGTATGGTGTAGATCAGCTCGGTGAAGAGAGCTCGAGGCGTGTGTGTAGCTTGGCCAGTATCGGGTCAGAGCTGTCAAGGGGCATTCTTCAATGTAATTTGACCACGAGTGTAGTGCCTGATGGTTCTGTGGAATTCCATAGCATTCATTTGGCCTTGAGGACAGCAGAACCGGATAGTTGAATGCGGGAGTTCCATTTTTGGAGACTAGCTTATGATGAGATATATGTACACTTGAACGAACGCTGGAAGCATGTGTGGCAGTGCGATTCGCCTGCACAGCCTGAACTTGATTGTGCCACAACAAGCAACAAAGCGGCATCCTGAACACATTAAGAGGACCACCTCGAAAGGAGCGTCTGCAGCCCAAGCCCTTCGTATGCTGGGCAACTCAGAGAGAGGCCTCCACCAGACCCATGCCCGGCGCCTCTACCTAGGAGCGGTATTGCCTATCGCTTTATATGGCTTACCGGTATACTGGCGCAAAAAATCTAAATTGATCATTAAACATCTCTCTACATTACAGAACAAATGCCTGCGCATGATTACAGGAGCATTTCGAACGACCAGCATACAGGCCATGGAGATCGAAGCATCGATCCCACCCATCGACATACTCCTCGAATACCGACTGAAGATGGAGGCAACACGCTTGTCCCGACTCCCGGACGACCACCCAGTCACCAACCGCCTCTACCCGTGGCAGAGGAGACTAACAACACCACACACTGTACCACCACTACCGGTATACGACCCCCACAGAAGATATCGCACAGACCCAAGGGACACCTTCTCAACGTGCATCACCCGCATCGCGGACCATATGATTCACGGCACAGAGAGGATCCGCCCACACAGCGAAGCCCCATGGCACATTTCAGAATTCGACATCGAAGATCGTATCCAGATCTACCTACCAGAGAACACCGCTGGTGAATCCGCCAAGGAGTCGTGGACAGACGACCACCTGGAATTTACGACGGAAAACGAGGACGACCCAGACTTCCTCTTCGTGTACTCCGATGGATCCAAGTACACAGAAGAAGGACAAAACGCCACAGGATTCGGTGTAGTCGGTTATTCAGCAGGTGAAACGGTATTCGAGAGGAACGGTTCCATGGGTAGCTACGTAGAAGCCTTCGACACAGAAATGATGGGGCTGAGGGCAGCAGCGGAAGAAACACGTCGCTTCATCGAAAACAACCTGGACACCCACAAGCCGTCGGACGTGGTATTTTACTGAGATAACACGAGCGCGATCGGCCGCATCTTCCAAGGGAAGCCCGGTAAAGCCCAAGAACACGCCCAGACCTTTAGGAAGGTAGTGTGCAGACTACTGGATGACAGAGCTGACCTCAAGGTCGCGATAAGTTGGTGCCCAGGCCACTGTGGCATCAAGGGAAACGAGCGGGCAGACGAACTGGCCAAAGAACGGACAGACCCCGCTACCGCTCATTATCCTATGTAGAAAGCTTGCATAAGCAGGATATGGAAGAAGAGTGGAAAGAACGTTGGACAAGCACACCCACCCCGATCCGATCAGGATTCCATACGGCAAACCAGATCTCCCCATCAACTAAACCCACCACCAGATTCAAATCGCTGGACCGGAAAACCTTCAGTAGGCTGGTCCAGTTCCGCACCGGCCACGCACACCTGGGCGAATACTATCACCGGTTCGGCATCCACACAGAGAGCAGAGAGTGTTCATGTGGAGCTGCCAACCAGACAAGAGAACATGTCCTTCAGGTATGCCCACAGTTTAAGAAATACAGACACATACTGGGCCGCGGTCGTCAGAGCAGATTTTCGATCCTGATGGGGAAGCCCAAAGGCATTCTTAGACTAGCGGCCTTTATTAAGAAGTCGCGGGCCATCGACAAAAAGAGCGGACAGAGAGCAATGCATAGCGGAGGAACAGGGGACAGGAGCACACAACCAGTATCCACCCGTAGGGAGAGAGGAGTGACATAGACGCCACCACACCCCCACGCATACCCAGACACGGCTTAATCCCAGACATCACAAACCGGAGGATCCCGTCATCCCGACCACACCAACCAGATAACCTACCTTGTATTGACGAGCCCCTCATGTACAGTCAGATGTAAATAACCGGGCTAGCCGCACTGCCACGTACAAACGCGGCCGCGGGGTAACAAAATAGAGTACAACAACAGCAACAAGCGGCATCCTGCCTCCACACACGTTTCGTCCCTAGCCAGTCACCATATCAGTGGACGATACCAAGACTCCTAACCCTCTCAACGACCCATCAAATTCTACCCAACGGCGGCCTTAATCAAAGAGCATCGAAGACAGTTCCTGACCTTTGCTTCTATCTCCACTGCGGCGTTCAGATAGGAAAGGAGTTCTTCATGTTACGACGCTGCTACTAGCTCCGACGTCCAGTTGCATCTTAGATCTCCCCCGGGATCCATGTGCACCCCCATTAACTTAATTAGGCCCCCAGGATTTCCACAGCCGACCCTGGTCGAAGATTTCCTTGTCTATGTGAGAATGAACTTCCTGATCGAGCTGGGCTTTACTCACTTGGGCTTAACAGCTTGATGGGGAGATTGAGTTTCCAATCCAGCCTGGCCCATCTGGTGTCGATCCTTCATCCGCAGAGGTGCCGTCCCTTAGTAACCGATTTTCCATGGCCTCATCTCTTGCTGTGTTCGCTGTTATCCCAATCCTTCGTGCATCATCAGCCACACATGTGGCAAGCGGCACAGAAGCGGGTGCCCACTCCGAAGACTTGAACCCTCAGCCGTACAGGACTTGCTCTGTGCGAACATTCTGCGAAAGCGTGGTTAAGAGCCCTCGCGCCGCCGATGCCAATATTATGTCAATTGGACGTTATGGGGACCTTCATGGCGTCCCACATCGATTTCTTATCCTTCACGTTACCCGGGCCTGTGGAAGAGACTTTTACATTCGCTTGGATCGAGATCCAGGGAAGTCGAATGTGGTAGATACTGTGTGTTGCGTGATATACGGTCATTGCGCGAGAGCTAAGACGCAGCACTTGTAGGTTGCTATCTCTGGTCGACTTGAGCATCTTCTGGATGCCACGAACAATAAGGCCGGAATTGAAGGCATTATGGTCCTTCCGACCCCGGCTCCTCTCGTTACGATCGCACGGATATTGCATACCGTTGTGGCAGAATCTCTTGGGTACAAGTCGACCAGAGTAAGTGTCAACGTTTGGCCCTTCCTACGTTATGGTCACTTAATCCGGGGCAACATGTAGGATAATTGTTGGTTCTTTTCATCCACCATCCAGGAAATGGTAATATTGATGTATGGAGCCAAGTATGAGAGTGCATCTCTCAATCATCCCAAAATTGGGGCCGAGCAGCGCGGCCGTATCAGACTTTTGATGTATTCCTCTATTGCTAATGAGATCGAACTTGCATCGGACAAAATTTTGAGAAGCGCTGGGTTAATTGCAGATTCAACGCTGACGAAGGCTGTCAAGTCAGTTCTGAATACTATCAAAAAACATCATGTAAGGAAAACGGTTCGCGCCAAGTATTTTCCACAACAATTGATCCACTTTTGAGCTAGAAGTTTGCTTTTCACAGTTTCCTTGCGTTCGATGCATTTCAAGTCTCTTCATCTGCGCGGAGACTTCTTATTATGCTCCATGACGACCTGTTTGAGCATCTTCGTAGATGCTACGGGGCTCGGGAAGCACGGACATTCTCAAAGAGTTTCCCCGAGTCAGTGAATTCTCGATAAACAGCAGTCTTGCGCCATCCCTCTGACACACTTATGCCAGTGAATTGATTCGGACGGTTTTATCATGGGAACAGAGTCTCCAGAGTTCCTCACAGAACATGGATGACATAATTACTTTGATATCCAGCATCACCGACCTCTTAAGATCATCGGTACGTGCTGTCTCGCGCCGCTGCAACTGCCGATCGCCTGATCTATCGCCAGCAGAAAGTAGCTGAGATTACGGTACGCCGACATTCCCTGGCCGCTCGTAGCCACGTAAGCATTGTCTCATGCCACTTCCAGCTCTTCCCAGGACCCAAGGTCGTGCTGTTTGCGCTGGAGTTTCTGGGTCTGTGCACGGTGTTGGATAGTCTACCAACAGCGTGGCGCTTCCAAATGAACGACACTATTCCTAATCTTCAGAGTGAATTCGACATGCTAATAACGTTGGAGTTGAAGTTGGTCTGCCGCCAGTGGACCACTCTCCTTTGCGTGTCGAATCATCGGGACAATGAGATAATGATAGCACTATCTCGCGCTGTGCCATCATTTCTTCACTGGATTGCAGCAATGGGGATCATGGGCGAAATAGATCAAGCTTGCCGAGGACTGAAAGAACTGGCGCAATGGCTGGTATGTTAAAAGTTTAAATGATAACCTATCGCTCACATCATATCTCCAAGGAATCCGATGAGCAAAGTACCGACACATGTCATGTAGTTTATGACTTATACCGTCTGGTCATGCAATCCAAGAGTGCATTAGCGCTCTCATCCTTATCCATACTCGGGAGTAGCCACCCGTTTATTCCGTTAGGTTCCTCATTGAATGCTACATTTCCGACGAAAGGGAATGCTAAATGCCGGATTGTTGCTCGTGACATGGACAGCGGTCATTCATGGCCATCGCAGGTCATGAAGATTCCCATAAGTGGAATCTTGTCAGCGACATTTTCACCAGACGGCCGTTATCTAGCCTCCGGCTCATCGAATGGCAGCGTGTGTGTTTGGGATGCAACGACAGGGGCGCTTTTCCGCGAACTGAAGGGTCGTGGCACCGGTTGGGTAGGGTCTGTTGCATTTTCGCCAGAAGGTCATCTTGCCTCGGCCTCGAATGACTGCGTCGTGCGGATCTGGGATCCGGTGACGGGAGGACTGCTTCGAGAATTGAAAGGGCATGGTAGTTGGGTTAGGTCTGTAGCCTTTTCACAGGATGGTTGTCGTCTGGCCTCAGCCTCGAACGATCGTACAGTCTGTGTGTGGGATGTTGCCGCAGGAACACTCCTTCGACAGCGGAAGGGACACTCTGGTTGGGTTAGGTCCGTCGCCTTTTCACCGAACAGCGATCGTCTAGCCTCCGCCTCGGAAGATCACACCGTGTGTGTTTGGAACGAGAATGATTGGGAGGGATTGTATGGTTGGGAGGCGCTGTCTGGTTGGGAGGAGTTGTATGGTTGGGAGGCGTCGCATGGTTGGGACGGGGGGGATGGAGATGGGGTGCTTCTTCGAGAACTCAAAGGTCATACTGCTCAGGTATGGTCCGTTTCATTTTCGCCCGATGGCCGTCATCTGGTGTCGGACGATCGGAATATGCGTGTCTGGGACGTGGAGACCGGAGCCCTTGTCCGAAAACTGGAAGAACATGCTCATTCCGTCTCATTCGTTAAATTCTCACCCGATGACCGTCATCTGGTCTCAGCCTCCCTAGACGGTACCCTACGTATCGGGGACACGGCGTTTGGAGCGCCTACGCGTGAACTGAGAGGCCACACTGCTTCGGCCTTGTCGGCGGAGTTCTCGCCAGATGGCAGTCTTGTGGTGTCATCCTCAGATGATGGTACCATGCGTGTGTGGCAAGTGACAGGAGTATCTGATCGAGAACGGAAGGGGCACACCGGCTCAGTATTGTCCGCCGAATATTCGCCCGATGGTCGTCATCTAGTTTCAGCCACTCAGGATGATGTCGTGTGTATCTGGGATGCTGCGGACGGGCGCTGTATTGGACAAAGACAGCTAGGTTGGGGCTTTGACCCTCGTCAGATTTCATTCTCCGCCGACGGCTTGACGATCCATGTCCAAGGTCCAACGGAGACGGAAGATCTGAGCTTCCCGAGTTTAGAGAATATATCCCCCCAGCTTCACCGCTATTCTTCCAATCTAATCCATCCCCTGTCTGCCTTGACCACAATGCTCTTTGTATCAAGCAGGGGGACACTAGTCTTTACGTCTGTTGGCTCCCCGACTACTTTGAACCCAGTACCCCTATCGCAGCACATGGGAATAATGTTTGCATTGGCGGAAAGGAGGGGATGATTGCATTTCTCAATTTGGATGGACTTTTGCCTCCCAGTGTGTAGTAGTATTTTTGGAGTGACAGCAAATCTGCGCCTTCGCCGAATTTACCGCACCCTGGGGTAATGTAATATGGGGGCAGATGGAATGACTACGGGGTTAACTGTACTTCCACAGAATCGTCCGTCGCTAGGTTGTTCTATTACTCCTTCCCTCCGTATCCAGATGGAATAGTTTATGGGTCGACGGTCGCATTGTTATCTCGCCTACCTGCTCGATCATCACATTCTGCGCGTCATTGCTCAACAAACTTTTAAAACATCATTCTAGGGAAAACAAAAAAATTCCGGCCTTCGGGAGCTTGAGAGGGGGATTTCTGGAACAATCTGACAATGGTTCACTCTGGAAATCTAGTAACGAGAATATCGACGAAATCGATCACCTGGAAAAATTGGTGGGTAAAAATCTCTTCTCCCCTCTCCGTGGCCACCCCGGAAGTTTCTCCAAGTTAGCACCCAAGGCATCCCTTCGTATTAGCTGGACATGTTGGTTCTACGACTCATAAGAGGGTGAGATTAAATAGGGAAATTGATCCAACTGTCGCTGAGGGTCCTATCGAGAACCCATACTTAATATATTTTCGCACACTTGCATCCAACTCTAACATTAGCGGGTGAGATCTCGACAATGCAATAGCAAATCCAGTGATAATGATGTCGTGTGTGTGCGCAAATACCTCACATTGGGAAGTGTAATGGGGTCCAAATGGATGAATGCAGTCGCACCCCCTCTCGCTCAACGATTCCCATGTTGTGCGATACGAGAAATGGGCATAAAGCCGACAGACGCGAAGGGCGAGATTGGAGTTATCTCTTCTAAGCTCGGAATACCCAAATATTTCGTCGCTGTCGGACCGTTGACACGAATCATTATTCAAAGTAATCTATGGAAAATGGCAGTCGACAAGGATCGATATCCAGATCGAGCTGTCTCTGTTCAATGCAGCTCCCACCAACAGCATTTTAGAGGCACACGATGCAATCGGGTGGCTGAGACCAGATGGTTGCCATCGGGAGAAAATTCGATGGACCAAATCAATATGACCCTTCAGGAACCCCTGTCGCCATATCCTACCAAACACCTATGATACCATCATCCAAGGCTAGGTGTCGGCCATCAGGTAGTGATGCTGAGAGATCGCTATGCCCCTTGAGGAAGGAATCTTCGAGTACTGAAGGGACATACCGATTTCCACCAAGTAGCTGTTATGTATTCTCGGATGATGATAATGTGCGACTGGCGGGAGGCATTGATGCATCAAACCAGCTGCCTTACATGTTGTTTGAGCAAGACATGACGACGCGCCGGTACGCATATCATGCCCATATCGGCTGTCCGATATGATACCCTTTTACCATGTGTTTCGTGTTTCACTGTTGATTGCCTTCCACATGTAGCGCTGTCGCGTATCTCATTTTCTTATCACTTTTGTCTGATATCCGTGTTATTACTTTAACTACTTATACCGCTGTGCGGTTACAATATCAAGTTGGTTGTTCCCCGTTATCCGAGTGTCCCCGCTGAGAGCTACATAACAACATTACATGCAACAAACGTTAGGAAAATCCGAGGAATGTGCTGCTAGGGAGAAAGTAAAATAGTCTGTATATATATTTACCGGTCACCACCAGATTCTGACGGCGTCCAAAACGGAGTGGGTGAAATTAGACTTGGTTTTTAGCAGTCTGGCGTTTTTTATGTCGAGATCTTGCTGCACGGGCTCCTCGGGCCCCGCACCGTGTGAATGAAGGGTTCGATCGGCCCCCTGCTTTATTCTCCGCAGTGCTGCCGACGAATCCATTGAACAGGCTCGATTACATAATATGAGTGGCTTCCATGATCTCGGCGTCAGCTTGACGGTGGCACCTTCATCGGAGACGGTATACACAGACTCAGACATTTGTGGTTACAGCACTTGACTCGGCTGTGTCCTGGGTTTGACAAAGACCGCATATAGAAATCTATTGCTATGCCGCCGCAAGGAGTATGTGCTCCTTACATAAACGGAAGAAATCACTTAGGGCTCTTCGACGCTGCCAAGGACGAGCCAGGCACATTATCAAATTCTTCGGTACCTGATTAGGTGTGGGACATAGATCTATTCTCAAGACGTCCGATGGGCCTGCGAAGTGCGGGAACCCTCACGCAGTAATAAGGGAGGCTTCGTTTTGGTCCCAGATTACGCAGATTACGCGTCGGCATCAGCCGACAAACCAAGTGGCTGGAATGGGAATCCTGGGATCCTGGCAAGGAAATGCTGCTTGTGCAGCCAGACCCTTCAGGTTTCAGGATATGTGATACTCTCGAACGACGTTTGCACAACCTGTCCCTCATTCTTGCCTACTACCTTGTCGTCTCTTTTCTTGCTATGCCCTCCACGTCTAATGGAACCGAAAATACCGCCTAATTTCAGCAACTCTCAAGTTGCTAAGGGTAACCCACCCTTGCGGTCAGGAATACGGGAACAACTACAGGCATTGATCAGCAACAAGAAACGACAACTTACCCTCGTGGGGACTCTCGGGCAACGGCTCCTTAGCCAAGAGATTGAGCTCGAGGAACGTATACAGCGAATGGTCGAGGCAGAAATTGGGGTGCCGCAGTCCAGCGATTCTAGAGACATTTCGCCCACTAGAGATGAGCTGGAAAGTTTGGGAAGGACATTGAAAACATGGGAGGCGGAGAACCAAGAGACCTGGGTTAACGCCCTCGCCCTTGATACATTAGTAGGCGTAAGCATTGGAGACTTGTAGATCATTCACATTATTTCTATGAGTGGTTTATGGCGAAAAGCCGGGTGTTGACCCACCCATTGCACCATCATTCCCTTCCAGCTCCTCATCAGGTGGGGATATGTCTTCTCACCCTGAAGTAACCCGAGCGGCCACCCAATCGCCATGGCGTACCAAAAATGCGAGCCTGCGGAACGCAAAAGACGTCAGTGAGATAGATTGGTATTCAGATGATGTGAGTACGCTACTCCATTCTTATTCACAGCGGGATTATTGAAATAGAATCACAACCGAGACCGGAGATCCATCGACGGGTGAAAACCGCCGCATACGTGCGCTGGTGGGCGAACGTGACAGGGCTTTACAGGAGCTGAGGGAACAAAGAGATGATCTGGAGCGCAGCGTGGAGAGCCTCCGGGCATCGTTCAGAAAACATCAAGCAAATGCTGGTTAGTTGAAGTTTGATGTAGTTGCAGATCTGGCTTAACCTGCAGACCCACAGAGAAAAATAGTGAGATTTGGAATCTGGAGTGCGCACTTCAAGAACTACGGGAGAAACTGAACAAAGCGAACTCATCCACACAGAGAGCGGAAGCGGAGAATAAGCGCACGCTAAAACAGCTTGTCTCTGCCCAAGAAACCATAAATTCACAGAGGGACGAGACAGAACAGCTGCAAAGCTTTTTGGACAATATGAAATCCAAGCATGAGGTTGATATTGCTCAGATGAGAAAAGCTCTCGCTAGTCATCAAAGGGAGAAGAGTGACTTGGAAACGGCTCTGGATGTCTTGAAATCCGAGCTGGCCAAGAAGTCCGTCTCTTTGCCAAATCGCTTTGGGTCTACGAACGGGGAAGCTGGGCTGCAAGAGCCCTTGGACGTCAAATCCAAGCGAGAGATTGATATCACCCAGCCCATCCCCGCGCTGTTGAACGAGTACGACAAGGCTTCACAGGGAACAAAGGAGGAAAAAGGTGATTTGGGTCTCGGCTTTGAGAGCGTCCACAATGCTGGTCAGTCAAGGCTTGTTATAGTTGCAGGTCCGGCCTCACTTACAACTCCTAGAAAATTTGAGGTTGGAGCAGGGACTTCAAGAAATACGAGAAAAACCGAATAACGCGAATGCACCAACCCACAGAGCACAAGCTGAGAACAAGCACGCACTGAAGCAGCTTAGCACTTTCCGGGAGAGTATCGATGCGCAAAAGGGGGGTATAGAACGGCTACAAGGCTCCTTGGACGATATCAAAAGGAAACATGAAAGTGATGTCGCTCAGATGAGAGAAATTGTCGCCAGCCTTGAGAGGGAGAAGAATGATTTGCAAACCGCCCTGGATAATTTGAAATCTGATTCAGCACAGAAGTCCAGACCTAGGCGAACTTGCTTTGGGTCTCCGGTGACGCGCAGAGATGCCGCGGGGACGAGGGGTAACGAAGAAATTTTCACACGCGGTGACTCCCCACGTTGGAGGTACGCTGCGAGCAATTTGCGCTCCTCAACTGATGACGTAGCTCACAAAATCTTAGGTGGGCGTGGTGTTGTCTCGGGTGTTGAGGACGACAGTGACTTCCATAGAGTGGGGGAGGACTGTAAACGCAATTGGGTGAAGGATCCACGAGCGTGTTGTGAAATCGCAAGAAGCAACTGCAAGCCAGGCATTCTGGTGCCTGTTCGCGTCTAGGATTGGACACAATAGTGCCAACAGCACAGACTACGTCAGACTGCAGCCGTAATTATCAACAAACACATATCACTTCTTGCTTCCAAGTCTTGGTGCAGCCCCCTATACTTTGTAGATTTATACACAATGCAACTATCGCCGATTCCTATATGAATGCTAATGGGTTTTGTTTTCAGATGCTTCGAACCCAATCATGAATGGTGAAGGCTTATCGGCGTTGTGTCGCCCAAGAGTGATTTCCGTGCGGTGTGTGACATCCTATCATTTCGGAACGCTAGGATCGAGGGTGCGAAGACTTGCTCTGTTCATTTTTTTCTGACTGGTCGGGGGTCCCCGGGATAAATTGTGGAATAAAAGTAGAAGACAACAAATTGATCTGAGAATAATAAAATAAAACCCATCCGAGTAAAGCAAACATATTCGGTGTCGAAGGCTCGACGCAATTGGAATCATGCATGTTTGTAGAGGGTTGGCAAAGGGACAGGTTCCGACGCACGATGTGGTGGCCGAAACGGGATGGTTCCCTCCGAGTCGCTGGTTCCCACGAGTGGAAGCGTAAAGCCATTGAACAAAACCACCACGCCCTCCAGCCACCAGTGGCCCTATGCATTCCCGCATTCTTCCTTCGTCCCTGTTACCATGGGACTAACAATTGGGTGTCAGATTTTTAGCAATATTTGTTATCGTGTCTCCATTCCCACTAATTCAAACACGAGTTGGAGGCGCCCCCTTTGGGATCGAGAGGTCGGGCTTCCACGAAACAAAGAATGCATCGCTCCATCAACAATATCTCATATCACTTGTACAGACGACACCACCCGTGGTTAAGGAGATCAGATATTACTTTGCCTCAAACTGGAAGTCGCTTTTGAAGAACTTCCATAGTGTTTCCTTGACATATATCCAGGTCTATTTCTGATGGAGATGGTTCCGACTACGGGATTATTGGTGTAGACTGAACAATAGCACAAGCTTGGTCCTATGTTTTGTCGCGCACATCAATATGCACTCTTGTTGCTTGAGTTCCAATGTGGTGAGTAGATCTTGAAATTCGTCCCATTTACAAGATGCGAAACAAAGACAGCCGAGCAAGAGTTTGCGTGCATGCAACTGCTCCATGGAGTTACTCTCAGCAGGCGACACAGTTACCTAGACACCGATATCGATAGGTCATCGCACATGAGACGCGAGCGCGGGGTATGACCTATGGGAAAGAGGGGCATGGGACAAGCGTCCATGCCGCCATGTAGATATGTATGGCACGTCATCATGGAGGCGTAAAACGGGGGGAAAGCACCTGATGGAAATCGAAAGCCGTGAGACCCACAATGCACGAAGTAACACTATGGGAAATATTCCTCGGTAAATGACCACAATTACTCTGGTAATTGACCATTTACCATCATTTCGATGGTTTTTGGAGTCTAGTATTTTACCAAATCGAAATTGCGAGTCAAGGAACTGACTTTTCATGGCAAGTATTTTACTACATGTTTCACGGTAACTTGTGCGGGTGCATAAGATCATCATGTTTTCACCTCAGTGTCGCTACAAACTGAGTCCCAAGACGTATTATATCGTCATGCGCTTATCAGGGGACACAAAGAAGGTAAGACCACCAGGAAGTCTGATTGGGGGAGTCGGAGCGCGGGGTGCTAATACTGTACCTACATGACCGGGAGCCTGTCACGCGTCACGCTGGCCTTGCGGCACGGCTCAAATTGGTCCTTTGTCACGCGTCACACTGGGTCTGAGGCTCTGGGTCCCTCGTCACGCTGTGAGTACGGTTTCAGGGTAGCTGTGACATTTTCAATTCAATTTTTCAATTTCCAAAAAAGGCAATCATACTTCATGAATTAAAAACGAAAAATCGCCATTTGACGCTTTTCGCGGATTTTTGCAAGAGGGGAATTTTCGAATGTTCAAATTTAGAAATATAGGCTGCCTGCTTATTTTGTTGTGCAGGAAAATGCCGACTCATGTGTCATGCCTCTGGAGATGTGTCATGCCTTGAAGGGCCGCTTGTGGCAGGCTCTCCCTTGTCACGCTCAAACCCGAGGCGGCTCCCGGTCGTGTAGGTACAGTACATCACCCTCCATACCATGGGCGGTACATGCCTCGATCCCGCCCTTGAAGGCCATTTGCACAATGCCTCACAAAGGCAAGCCAGCATTGGGAGCAACCTTATGTGGCATTTCATTGCCATCTTTACTCGTCAGAAATGATCTCAAGTTAAAGTCAAACTGAACCGAAACTCCCGGACCCACCGAACTTCCTCTTCTTAACGGAGGGCTATAATAATATACTCAGTCTCTGTAGCGAGAACTAATATTATTAGCATTCTAACCTATAATAATATACTGGTTGGAATGAGTTATTAAGTTATGAGGAATGTCAAAGAGGAAACTGACCTCAGTCTCCATAGCGAGAACTGAGGAAAAAAGAAAACAATCCCAAATAACGAGAAACTATACATTCGCGATCACGAGGACCGTGTGTCACATGCGGGTCATGTGCACTTGCTGGTGAGTCACGGGTTGTTGCCTCACAACACTTCTCTCTCACCATACACTCACCATACGCATTGGATCCATGCCTGGCTGCTATGACACGTGTAGTTAGGCCTTGGCTTGCTGTGGTTTGTTTTTTGCGTCTATATACACACTTCAACACTCATCATCACCTGTCCAGTTGAGCATTGCAAGCGGAAAATTGGGCAATCGGCACCTCCAATCTTGGCAATTCTATGCAAATAACACCCCCAAGAGATACCCACATTTGTGGCTACCCTTCGATCCCTTTATCTTGAGTCTGTTAGAACGAGGCGGAAACGGACGACTCTGGAGTGGAATCGGAGACTTAGTGTGGAGGGACCTTGGCCTCAGCGACTCAAGCGGAGCGCTGTGCCATTGCTGTTTGTCCATTTGGTCCTTACAGCGAAGTGCAAAAAAATCTGCCGGTTTCGATTTTGACGGAAGTGATCTGGGGTGGAGTCACCCACTACCAAAACCAGGATTTGAATGGAAACCCCAATGGCACCGTAGAACTCCCCCTAAATGTGGCGCTTAGCGCCCAAACTCATTGCCCCAGCATCAACAAACCGTGAACTCTGTCCTAGCATGGGAAAACATCTTGACCGCAGCGCGAAGGACATCTTGGTGTCATTATCTTCAAGGATGACCCAACAAGAGATTGCTGAGGCCTCGGGAGTGTCCGAACGCACTGTTCGGAAGTTGCTCACTGCTCCATATGCACACCATCAGGATCGAGTTGAAACAAGAGGGCGACATCGAGCGCTTAGTATCCATGCAGTGAATGTAAGTACAAAAATCGCGTCTAAATAGAACTTGTGGTGTATGATCTCAAGTTCCTTGACAGCCTCATCGAACAAAAGCCGGATTTGTACCTTGACGAATTACAGGCTGGGCTTAGAAATGAGCTTGGGATTGAAACAAGCACTTGGACGATTTCCAGAGCGCTACATAGGCACGGTCTCACCAGAAAGAAGGTTTATCTTCCGACTCCCAACTGCCTTTCAAACCCTGATAAGCGCCCGTTTACTAGATCCAGAGGCCAGCAGCTGAGCGTGATGAACAGCTCCGAGCAGATTTCAGGAGGCATATGAGGGCGACTTACAATGCTAGTCAACTTGTTTTTGTGGATGAGACAGGGGTCAACCGTCATACATCATCACGTACATATGGCTGGGCCCCTTGTGGAGATAGGGCTCGCCGACATGATTTCTTTGTCCGTGGCACTAAGTTTGTACTGAGCATTTAATTGGTAACCACAATATTCAATTTTTACCCTTCAGGTACTCCGTTCTTCCTGCCCTGTCGGTCAATGGAATCATTCACGTCGATATACAAAAAAACGCATATACCACTGAATCATTCAACGACTTCATTGCTTCCCTTCTCATTCACATGAACCCATATCCCCAGCCCCAATCTGTCCTTGTTATGGACAATGCGTCCATTCATAAATCCGATACCTTGCTAGAGATGTGTCATGAGTGGTGCGCGTGGTTCTCAATCTAGAGGCATTTGATATACTAAGATATATTTTAGCGGTGTTGTCCTTGAATATCTCCCACCTTATTCCCCTGACTTCAACCCAATAGAGTTGGCATTCTCCACGATCAAGCAAAGCCTCCGACGGGACCGAGACTATGTCAACAATGAGTTTTCCTCTGGGTCACACTACCGAGCAGCTGAGTTACTCATAAGAGTTGTGTTCTCTGTGACAAGACATCAAGCCGGTGGATGGTTCAGGCACTCAGGTTACATCTAAGCTGCAACGTTATTTCATTTCTTCCTATACTACATTCAAACAAAACCTATGTACATTATACTTGCATGCGTAGAATATACAGGGCAAGTGAAGACATTACGCAAGTGAGGGACTAGTGATATACAGTGAGTAGACATCCATAGGATGAATTCATACAGAAAACTCATCATCCGTGGGGGCTTGTATAGTACAACAGAATTGCTAGAGAAATTACCAGATTTCCTCCCACGGATCATTGGCCAGTTCATCTTGAGCAGTCTCACCATCATATTCATCATTATCGTTAGATGCGTGGTCGGAGTCAGGACCAATGTGTGCCACTGGTGGCGAGGGTAATGAAATGCACTCCTCGGGAGTGCTTGAATCGGAGGATATTTCAATAATGGAAGGAGATGGAGGCAATGCGGGCTTGTTCTCATGTTGCACACAAGTAGTAAAACGCCAATTTTTTCCCTGAGAGTTTGTCTGGGTTTGAGAGATGTGGGTGTGCTGTGAAGTCGAAGCATGTTTGACTGGACTCGGAGAAAGATCTAGAACATATGAACGGGTCCCTGGACTCGGAGTTGCTGGGACTAGGACCACGGGTTTATTCTCTGAAGTGGTGATTGAGTGCGGGACTTGGACTTGACAGTCACCCACGGACTGTTTGGTATTCTGGAAGTCCTTTGAGAGTGCTCGTATATTGCGAGTAGCTTCCAAATGGGCCTTCCTGCGCTTGGCTGGCATCTGAGTCGGAGAAGGAGGAGAAGTTGATCGGTCACGCTTCCAGGTATGGGGATCATCCAATTGCGTGAGAGGTTTGAGAGGTGAAGCACTAAATAAACGACTCTTGGGTGGCTCAACAAAGGAGACTCCTTTAACCCCATCGGCCTATGGGATCATCAGCTTTAGAAAGTGAAAGCATGAGTGAGATGGACTTGGACATACCAATGCTTTCGCCCAAAGGGCAAGGGCCTCATTTGTGACATGCAAATGGTGGAAATTAGCATCAGGATGGCGGTAACAGCATCGCCCACAACCATGGCAGAAGAGTCTCTTGTGAAGTTCATCATAAATTACTCGATGCATGGATGAAGTGTTGTCAACAGATGGGGTTTTGGCTCTACGGCGCTTCTTGATTGCCATAGGTCGAAGCTCTTTTTTGACGGCATCCTAGATAGACCCCAACACTTAAGACTCATGTGGGTAGCACAGTGGACCACAAACCTTATTAACAATTCGTAGTTTCTTTGATTTGTATGCACGAGATTGAATATCACGCTGCGCATGAATAGCGCGAGTGAAATCATCCACATTGCGGATCTGAGTGAAGATGGATTCCTTCTCATCGGATAAACGATATCCGATCTGGTGCATGGAGAGGTCCACCTTCATCCTAATGAGAATTCCATTGAGAACCTCTTCTGGTGATTGGGACTTCGAGTCTGGAAAGTAGACGGTTTCGTTCTGTTTCTTCGGATCCATCGTGTTCAACATGAATTGATACTCAAATTCTGATCAGAAGTATCTCGGTGAGGTCCAAAGAAGTAATAAAACATTGGGACATACCTTTCGTACCTTTCTCATTGGATTTCTCTTTGTCTTTTCCTTTGACCTGCCTGTTCCCCGACTTAGCCCCTAAGACTGATGCCTGAGCTGGCCCTGCTGCGGCAACCTGAGTTTGGGGTGTACTAGGCAGAGTGTATACGGGCACAGGATTGAGCACGGCAATGGGTCCCCATTGACCCGGGTAGAGGGGAACATTGACCTGGGTGGACGGAGTGGGTGCAGACACAGGAGGTGGATTGGTAGTGGGCAGGTGAGGTTCCAAGGAATATGGGAAGTGGCCATTGCGCTTCGCAGTAAGATATGTCTGAACACGGGTGCGAACAGGATCGTCAAGTGGTTTCTCTTCCCCTTGTGACAAATACCAGCGTCATTGGTAAAGACCAGATCAGGAAATCAGACTTACAATTCTCGGGGATCTTCACTGACATCTCGCTGGCATCGTCGCCACCATCTGTGAGAACATTTGAAACTGTGTCTGAATCATCTGGAAGGTAGTTGAGATGTCCATTTTCGATAAAATGATAGACCGCTTCACGACGGCTCTTTGGCAATGGCTTTTCCTCAGCCAGACCTAGAAGATAGGCCATGTTCCAAGTGCGTCGCTGGTCTTTGTTCTTTATGAAATATTCTCTATCAAGTTGTTTGCTGTCGGACATCGTGGCTGAGAGTGGCAGCAAGAGGTAACCTCTAGCCCTACAGTCATTCCGCACATCCTATATACCGCGATGGGCACCATTGAACCCCACAACACTCAACGTCATTGTCATAAACTGATCTGAGGGTTGCTGCCCTTGCCGTGATTGCCGAGGGTGAAGACCCCAGCGCTTGAGCTGTTGATCCAAATAAGGAAATCCCTGTTGTGAGCCACGATCTTGCCAACTTTTTAGGTAGAGGATTCACCTGCCCCACTTACCCATTCGAATCGAAACCGGCAGATTTTTTTGCACTTCGCTGTAATTTCACAGTAGGTGAGCAGGAAGTCTCTTGGGGGCATTTCAGGTCGATTTCGGACTGAAACCAGATGAGTATGTACAAGCGCCGATATATATAAAGAAGGGGCAAAAGCACAAGGAGAACAAAGGGTGACCGAATCGGAACGAAGACGTCCGAACGGGAACAAAGGGTGAAGGGAGCGGAGCGGTACCGAAGGTCACAGGGCAAGACCTGTGATACGTCCGAAAGGAGGTAGAGAGGGCGAGGCCCAGAGGGGCAGGAGGATGAGGGGAAGTGGGGGTGATGACTAACTGGCTAGAATAGAAGGAAGCAGTAGTCCAAATAGGGATGAGGGGGAATTGCGAGAAATACATTACAAAACGGCGAGAGTGCCGGAGGCGGTCCGCGAAGCTCGGGGGTTGCGGAGCTTACGGAGCTTACGGAGGTGGGGTTGGAAGTCCGAGGAATATTGGCAATGGTGTTTACGTAGTATGAGGTCACCAATGCAATGGACTAAGACCGAGGTGGAGTCAAAGTCCAAGGTAGGGACTATGACGGAGGCTCGGAGTAAGGTACGAACGGTGTCTGAGTGTGAAGTACGGAGCAGCGGTGGACGGTTGTAACTTGGCGGAAGGGTAACGGAAGGAGGAGAGAGGGGACAGGTAAGGAAGAGGGAGTGGCGGAAAGGAGAGTAGTCAGGTCCGAAGGTGAGTATCGGAATGGACGGGGGAAGCGTAGGGGGATGATGGGAGGGTGGAGGTGTTGTGAGGGGGGAGCGGAGTTGTAGGAAGGGTGGCGAGTGGGGCGATGTTTGGTCCGGGATGAGTATCGGAACGGACGGAGAAAGGGTCGGAGAGGTAAGAGGAGGGGTGTGTTGCCAAGACCGAAGGTGAGTATTGGAACGGCAGCGGTAGGTTATGACTCCGGAGGTGAAGAGGGTGGAGGTCCGGAAGTCAGGTCGGGGTCAGGTATGCACGGATATGACAGAGTCCATGTCAGGGCATACACCCTGACCTAGCCCATACCGCATCCACACCCGCACTCGCACCCGCACCCGTGACTGCACCCGGCTGTTGCACTCCCCGCGCGCGCCCTGTGCCGGATGCTCAGTGCGGCCGGATGGCCCGGACCTCGGGTCTCGGGTCTCATGTGACTTCCGGATATCTCCGGAAGTTTTCGATGTATTGTGGCCACTGTGGGAAGATGAGAAGTTAACTTCCTTCTCATCTCTGACCCACAGTAGTAGGTTGTGCCCTGGACAGGGCTGGTTACACCTGGGACTGTGGACCATAGGGGAGGGTCACGGGGACCTGGGAGTCGTCCCCTGACAGTCCAGCACTGCAAATGCATGCGCAATTTTGATCAACCCCCAGTCTGCTTGATGAAGGGGTCGATTTCACGGTTATTCGTAATATTCCTCTGCTTTCAGTGTACCTCTATTTGTGCGCAACTTTTTTCTTGTCTGCTCACTCTCCAGCCACTGTGTCGCCTCAACCCACCATCCATGAAGAGAGAGCCCAAGCATCCGCTCAGCAGGGTGTTGTCTGGCCCTGGAGTATGTCCGCTATTTTTAGTTTCTTCTGGGCTCATACTTGAAAGCATCTGATCTGGACTTCAGATTCACTGAACACTCTTACTGAACGACACCGCAGATGGGCCCGACAATTATTCTCCTGAATAACTCCTGGACCAATGCATCCATCGTGGCATTTCCCACACCCAGTGGCGAAGCTTGTGTGGTTGTTGTTTGGTCAATATTCCCATTTCCTTGCCTCCACCGCCTTTCTGACCCCCTTTCATACCAGGAAACAATCAAAATGTGCAAAAGCAGCCAGAGTTTGAGAGTTGAAGGTACGCATCCAACCCGCTGATGTGCTTGGACCATCTCGGAAGACAAGGTTCTATCCAGTACCTCATGGTACCTCACGTTGGAGTTGAAATTCTCGGCCGCTCATAGGTTTGTGTCTGTCATTTTACTCTCGATTCCGAGGCTTCCAGCATTTTTACTAGGCTGCACGGTCCGTGCTGTATTGAATCAACTTTCTTCATCAGGATCGAATCAACACTCATATCTAACCCCCATTTGCCTCTTGCTCACTGCTCAAAACAGCTCGATTTCTCATTCACAATCAATGCTGTTTGTCGTGATGCAACCTGGCAGATGCGATGTCGTTTTCACTGTATATTACCATATTAATAGCCACAAATAACCATGAACCGTTATGTATTTTACCATCCACAATCATCGTAAATTACCAGACCTGTGAGGTAAAATACCAAATACGACCATTGTAAAGTGACCGTTTACCATCATTGAGATGGTAGAAAACTGTGAAAAAGTAGGTCTTTTACCCTCGTTAGTAATGGTAATGGGAACTCGGTAAAGGACCATAGTCTTAATGGTAAAATACTATTCGAATCATCATAAAAGTGGAGGTATTTTACAGTGAACCTACAAAACCCCTCTGAGATGAGTGCAAAAAATCACGTGTTTGATGAATTGACACAAATATGAAAATGATGATATTTTTTTTGAATCCACCAATTACAATGAAGGAAATGAATAGGATGCAAGCATGAAGATGCATGGGCAGGGGCCCGGGCACCTTCATAACTGTGGGGCATTTAACGGAAGGGAACAGAAAGTTGTATGCAGTAAGAAAGAAATAGTGGATGAAGGGGGGCGAGGGAATTGTGAGGCCAGTTTAACTATACATATATATGGTTTGGTCGAGACCCCTAGTGATGGTGGTTTGACTTAGTGGCTGGTGCTGGATTCTCTTCAATCCTGTGTTGGGATGGATCTTGGTTTGAGTCCTGTATGGTGTTTGTTTTTTTTCTCCCTTAGAAAACATTTAAGATGAAAAACTTCAATTCCAAGGGGTGATCAATGTCATGAAAAATGTACATTGGGCGGCTTTTGACTTCGTGATCAACCCTGGATCCGTGGCTGAAATTAACACTTTATATATTACTTTTAGGACCGGATCCATGTGAGGTCTACTTGGTCTAGTGGATTATTGCACTGTTTATGACCCTGTCTCCCCCCTGCTTGTGCACGTTTGATTCATTCTTGGTGGATTTTTTTTTGCCACAGTTATTGCACGAGGATGACTTTAATGTATATATAACACTGATAAGCAATGCTACACTAATTGCACTAAACAAACCCTATTCCAAGCACGTTCTACAATACACAAGCGCTGTAATGGTAATTAATAATTTTAGTTTGGTAATTGGGTTGGGTTGGGGAATAACAGGGAGGGGATGATGAGACCGCATGCAATGAATATTTATTACATAATAACGTCACATGTAGGCAATGGTCATTGGCTGGTTTCTAAATCAATTCCCTTCATTTTTTTGTTCAGCCATGATCACATGCATATTTCCTTTTGTGCTAATCTCAGAGGGGTTTTGTAGGTTTTCTGTATTTTACCATCTTTAAAATGGTTTTTTTACGCGACTCAAATTCCCACTGTGGTAAACGATAATGCTCCACCCTGACAAAATTCTCCCCACCTCTGGCCCAACACAGGAAATATGCTACTGTCAGTGGAGACAAGTGAATTGATACTCACAAAGGAAACAAGCGAATGTGGCAACTTCAAACACTATCAGCATATGCATTAATCAGTATCCCTCGTGTGAGTTGTGTCTGGCATCTGATATACATTCTTTTCGATCTACTTTTCAGCTCCCATGTCTAACCCCCATTCATTTGATCTTATTTAAAGAAAATATCTTCTATCATACCGGAATCGACAATGATAAATCTATCAATACATCCAGACAGATCGATGGGCAAGATAGGCAGCTGGGAGCACTGTGCACATTTGTCATCAAAAATCCTCTGGTCGCACAAATGCTCCATGAACAATTCATCCAAGATGAGTGGAAGTATAGGGTATCCCTAGGGTGTTTCATGTTGTTGTGAAGAACAATTCTTTGAAATTGGGTGGGAAACTCACCCTTCCTCCTGAGACTCGTGAGCCTGTGGATAAAGGGCAGAGGTGTTATGGAAATGGGAATTTCCATTTTAGACTCTTATGGGTTCTGTATCATGTGATTTATATAGTAATATAGTTTATCCAATCAACAATTAACCAAAAACCCGCTGTGCTAACATCTGTTACACCACATGTCAAACCATCTGTGAAACCACCTGTAAACCATTATGTCCAATCCCCTTCCCTATTCCTGCGCCAGAACGAACGAAAATGGGCGCTTCCGGCCCCATTTTTGTAACAAGAGGGCTGTTATCAAATGGACAGACCAAGCGCATCTCTGTACAATTTTTGGGAAGGATAAAACCATCACTGTAAGGGATGGGTGGTAGAGTGGTGATGCGTGCAAAGCGTGCTTTCTTTATTCATCTTTATTCTTTGTATACAATGTAAAACAACTGTATTTACATATGTATGGCTCGGGCTCAGGTAAAGGGTTTTTTACTCTTTACCCTCAACCCGATGTCAAATCATAAGCTCCATACAGCCTAGATCTCGACATTCTGAGGACTGAGTCAACCCAGGCCAGCATCCCAACTGGCCTTACAATCGCTCTGTGTTTCGACCTCATTGTTCCCATCATGGTTAGTGTTGACTCCCAAAAAATTGCAAAGTTCAAGATATGTTTTGAAGTCCTTGAGGTATAACTGGCTGGAGAATACACCCAGCTGTGAGATCGTGAGCCTCTTGGGATGTGTCCGCATCTTTGGTAAAGA